TAATAATATATATCTATTTTTTTAATAAGAGAGCTCGAGAGAGCTATCGAGCTAACTTAGTCGCTCTAATTAAAGAGCGTAGCGAACTCGAATTTATAATTAGCTATATATATAAATTTAAGATTTTTTAACTTAACTTTATCTTATTCTTTTATATATATTAATAATAAGATAGTAATTAAAATTATACGAGAGTTATAGCTTAATAGAGATAAAAAAAAGTTCGATAGAGATAAAGCTTCGATATATACTTAGTTTATCTTAGATAAACTTATAGTATATACTAAACGTATTCGTTTTATCTCGATTAAACTCGAGTCGAGTTAATAAAACTATAACTACTTTATTCGAGTTATAGTATATATTAACTAAGATTTTTAAAGAAAACTTAGCTATCGAGCGAAGCCGTAGCGTAGTTAAGACTCTTAACGTGAATAGACTTAATATAGAAGCTTAAGAGAGCGATACTCTCTATTTTTCTTCTTACTTCTATAAGAATTAGTCTTACTATAAGATCTATATATAAATATATATATATATCTATTACTAAGTTTATATTACTATATAATTTTAAATCTACTTATATTTAAATATATAAGTCTATCTAATAAGTATATATTAAATATATATTAAGTATATACTAAGTATTAATATCGTATATTCTATATATAAAGACTCTTATATCTTAAGACTATTAAAATATTAGATATACGATATATAGAATAGATAGATTAATTCTTTAAATCTCTTCGAGATTAAATTTTAAATATAGTATAGAATTAGATAGCTAATTAATACGGTAACTAGAAAGCGTAGAAAACAAATATATACCTCTATATTAAATTTCGACAGAGGCTCGCATATCTCGCATACGTCAAAATCGCTAGACTAAATAATTTTTTTTTTATTCTCGATAGGAATCTAGGTCGAGGGTTATGGCCAATTCCTGATGAAGGTTTCAGCTCCGAGTCACCCAGGAGCATGCAGCAGCTCAGAGACATAAATACGAGTGCTCATCCACTACTACCGTTCCAAAGTCGTACTCTCAGGCCTGCCACCATTTCCTGCTCCTCCATTGCACTTCCTCGAAATACTCACAGACAACCCCTGTAATTATGGTCGCTGTTTCGAAGCTCCTCACCGCTTGCGTCGCATTAGGGACCACTGTTTCTTTACCACTGACGATCAACCCTCGTGAGTCACAGCTTCTTCCCTGAGGTATCAAAATTCCTCAGCCATTGCTGACGAGCCTCGTAGTGTTGAATGGCAACAGCAACGGGATATTGGCTCCTGTTCGGCGCTCCGAGGAGTCTAAGGCAACCCCAGACAGCATGTGGCACCCAGGTGTGGATCGTATTCGCCGCTCCGAGGAGTCTAAAGCAACCCCAGACAGCATGTGGCACCCAGGTGTGGATCGTATTCGCCGCTCCGAGGAGTCTAAAGCAACCCCAGACATCATTTAAATATTGCGGAAATCAATTTGGCCGTTGGTTTGGAAGAAGGCAAGGAATCATTGAATCACCCAGGTATGTGTCCTAATCAGGTTACAAGAGACGGAAAAAAGAAGCTGCCCATGCGAGTTGCCATGCTAGGTGTCGAAAAGTTTTAGCAGAATTAGAATGGTCGATTATGTCTCCAGTAACACCACTCTGTAGAATCAATCAACACTAGACATCTCACAAAGATTCCGATCTCTCTTCAAGTTTAGCAGTTTAGGTACACCATGGGAATATACATTTGCACCATGATGCAACTGAAATTCACTTTATACTTTAAGCGAGCGTAGCGTTGACGCACCAGGAGCAGCACATTGCACCAGAACATGATTTGCGGTCATCAGACGTCTGCTCTCCTTAAGCGGCAAAGGTAATCACTACTTCTCCGTTGGCAGGATTTAGCTGTCGCCCGCCAAGTCGCTTCGTTCCAGGCGACTACTTACCGCCCCTCTACCACGGTCGGCAAGAAGATAAGAACTTTGTCCCCGCATCCGTTGAGCGCGCCGCCCTACCCAAAGTTGGTACCGGCGCCAGGGCATCGCAAGTGTTGGATGATGTTAGCATGCTCGCAACGACCTTGTCCACACGTCCTCCCAATGACCTTCCAAGTGACAAGTTTGGTGGGACAGTGGCCCTGAAAATCTTCTCCGGGTGCGCCTTCGTGCAAGGCTTCTCGTGGGGTACGGGCGAGCAGAATCCGCCTTCTACTCTGTCGAGTATTCCGAAGCCTCATAGGTGTATTAGAGAAAGATAACAAGATCTTCTGTATGCTTTACTCGCCTACAGCTGGACTATACATAAACAATATTGTAATATTGAAAACAATCCTCTTCTCAATCACCATGTGCGATATCGCGCTTGTTCAACGGGGGACGGTCGCCCGCATCTACCTTCTGCTCGTTCGCACGCTCGATCAACTCATAGCTCCTTCTCTGGACCGTTTTCTTTTTCAGATCGGCTTTATTTTTACCCCAGAGATTACGTTCGAGCCCGAACACGTAGAAATATTCAACGAAGATGGGCACCCACACAAATAACGCGAGGATCTGGCCATAACCCCACTGATCTTCATTGTCCGCCGAGGAGATATCTTGCTCACTTTGTCGAAGGTACCAAAGGAAGCGTATGTCGATGTAGGAGTCAAACATAGCATAGGCTGCAAGAAGTAAAGCAATCACTCGGCGCCAGGGTATGTTGGTCCAGGCTGTTTGGGAGAAGTCGGAAACTTATGTTCATTAGTGTAAATTTCGAGATCCAACGATGCAACAGACTTACCCGTCTTATATGCGACAGAGCTCTTAGCCCGCTGCCACCAGGCGATATCGACCTGGACTTTGCGCTTGTCTCCTGGAGCCTTGCGAAAAGACCGCCAGGGTACTAGGTAGCTGACGAAGAAAGCTAATACTAGACAGGCCCAGACCGCCTTTGCAATGAAGCGCTGACGGAAGACATTTTGCACATGGTCATTCCAGTCTAGGCAGAGTGAGGTACCGGGATTGAAGCTCTTTGCCTTCCTGAAGAGAAATTGTATTATGAAAACCAGGAGAACCGCAAAAGCCACCAAGAAGCCCCTCAAAGCGCCTCGATCCAGATGCGCATATGTCAAGAGCAGTACAGCGACTGGAGCATCAATTGCAAGCAGCGTTGCGGTTTGCCCAAGCTTGTCTTCGTACAGTAAGTGAGCATCTCGGTAATTGAAGATAATGCCAGCGAACGAGACTGCGAAAGAAAAGAACACTGCATTATCGAGGAATACGCCAGCACTCTTAAGTGCAGCGGAATCATGTTGGCTGAGCCACTTTGGCTTAGGTCTTTTTTTGTAGATGAAGTCTGTCACTAAAGCGACGCCGAAGGTAACTACGGACAGTGCCATCAGACTTGCTTCTATGAAGTATGCAGCAATCACCTACATCTTGTTAGCCAGCATCCAATGTGCTCGCGGAGGCCACTTGATGGCTACTTACTCCAATGCCTCCGAGATCCGGGTTGCCTTGATTGGCACGCCGGCAAATGTCAAAGGCGCAAGCATCGACGACGGTAAAATTTGGGTAGAATGGATAGGGTTTCTGGGACTCTTCACTATTCAAACCAGAGCAGCAGTATTGAACCATGCAAGCCGGTTGCATGTCTGTGATGGCTTGGACCTTGGAGAGTGTCCCATTGGAGCCACAACCTCCTGAATAAGCCAAGTAATTGGACATAGATAATTTGTCCGTCGGGTCAGCCCAATAATCGTTTGCATTCTCTTGGTCAAAGAATTCAAACGCGTCAGTCGTATTCGACCATTGAGCAATCTCAGCGTCTGTGAGGCTCATATAGATGGTGGGCAAGGCGGAGGCCAGAGCTGCACGCCAGAAGCCCAGCCATTCTGGTGAGGTACCGTTTGTCCAGAAATCGGTGTATTCATCGGTAGGGCCGTTGTCGACAGGATCTACCGACTGATCAACATCACCTGACGTATCATCGTCGGGTTCAAGTTCTTGCGCAACAGTGGGGTTATCGGATCCGCCTGGCAGATCGTTCGTTGCGGTTTGGTTGCCGGGAGAAGCAGCAAAATTGTTGAAATCATTTATCCATACAGCGAGACCGAGAGCAACGTTTGAGCAATTGGAAGTGAAATTGAGGTGTGAAATGGTGAGGTTCGCGAGGCTCATGGGGAGAGTTAGATTCATAGCTCGGACGGCACGCGCGCTGGACTAAGATTATGGGAGGCGACGATGAGCTTCTTATACTTTCCTTTATTAAGGCTTCTCTTATCTTCGCGTCGCCCTAAGATACCTCAGTACCTACTTTAGGGCTAGCACCTCAAACCATCTTCCACCTTACGCTGTACTCGATTAAGCTAACGCCTTGTTTTCTTACAGCTTATTAGAGGGTGGAGTATCCGATAACCTCCCGGATCTAATGTAACAAATCTACCTCCACCCCCTGTTATCATACTATCAAGGCATTTACGAGGTAATCATAACTGACAGAACTTGAAGGGTAGTCGTACGTGTGTTCAATGTCGCATAGACATTAAGGGGAGGGGTTTTGGTAGAGAGATTAGTGGTAATAGTGGTATTTCCCCAAGGACTGAGGGGGAACGCAGTGTATGTAAAGTCTTCTTATGTCGCAAAGGGGACTGTGTGAAGCGATTTCATGATAGGGTAGTTGCTATGTAGTCTCTAGACTAGATACAAGCCATTCATAGTAGATTATATAGTGGGAGTGGAGTGGTGGTGGAGATGGTAGTAGGAAAAATGGATTTGTTACATGTGGGAGGTTATCGGATATACGAAGTAGCAACTGACCTAACCCTCAAAGACCTAGGTCTCTTGCCGCTTTAGACCTCCCAAAAAATATCACCGACATCAGTCACGCTTCGCAGACAGCGTCCAAGCACACTACGATTCCACACACCAGCTCGCTCACTCCCGCGCACCTTTTCACTTCACTCCACACCCTCATCAAACCCTCCTCCAACACCGCCAAACAAATAACCGCGGCAACAACCAACCAACCATGGTCCAACTCGAAGAAGTCGAGGATGCGGAGCTCGACCAAGCCCAACCCGGTCCCGTCGGAGACGACTACGACTCCGACGACTTTGTCGACACGGGTGTGTATACGCATCCCTTACATCTGCTCCGAAACCCCCAAACCGCATACAAACGTACCAAATACGGGTGACGGTTCGCTAACAGCCACCCTCCCGGGCTGCCAGATTCCGAGCTCTCAGACGACGAAATCATATCATCCGGCCCCCCCGCCGAATCAATCACAGACCGGTACACACACACTTCCCTTCCCCCCCCCTCCCTCACCCCACCCCGCGCTAACACCCACCAGCCTCCTCGCCCTGCGCGACATCCTGCCCCCCCGCTACCGACGCGCCCTATCCTCCACGCTCAGCTCCACGCTCTCGGCGACGAAGACGGGCGCCTGGTGGGGCGGCAAGGGCCTCTGGGTGCTGACGACGGGCGCGGTGATGCTGAGCGTGCCGTTCGCGGTGTGCATGGTGGAGGAGCAGCAGATTATGGAGCAGGAGCGGGAGATGAAGGCGCAGGAGGGGGCGAGGGAGGTGTTGGTGCCGGGGGTGGGGGCGGGGCCGGGCGCGGCGGGGAGTGGGTTGTAGGTGGATGTGGTGAGGGGGGGGGTTTGGGGGGAGAGGGTGTGTGCCCGGGGTGTTGTGTGTGAGAGGTTTAGGGGCGACGAGGGAGGGTGGTTGGGTGGGTGTAAGATATCTCTGCTCCGAGTCGGATTGCATACAGTGTGAATAGGGATTATTGTACATTGCCACTGGATCCTGAAGCGTCTATGATATGAGATTCAATTCTATGTTATATACATGGTTCATGAGTATTGCTGAGATGGTAGGCTTGATACAGGCCATACATCGTGCCAGCTGTGGATTGGCTTCAGAATCTTTCAAGACATCCACAGATGTATCCAACCAAAGCGGCTTCCAGACCGATGGCTGCCTGTCAGATACAGCGTGATTCAAGGTCCTTCCTGGTGCGGAATATCCAAGTGAGTCGAACCACTCCATGCTACCGTTTAATGGCTGTATTCACACATCACCCCAAAGCCGGCCCAGACTGTGGCCATATTGAAAGCTGAGAGCCAGGATGGATGCCCCGTTCTCGCTATCAATGTCCGTTCGTGAACCTCTCGGGCTGTCGAGAGATCAATTTCAGACCCTTGACTATCTTCATGAGGGGAGACGTACCTTAGCGTCTCTCGCAGCCGCTAGATTCTCTTTGAATTGCTTGTAGAGCATCTTCATGACCCCTGTGTCCTTCATGCCATCCACAACTTTATTAGTGGCCTTCTGTCTCTTTTTCTGGCGCAGATTGTCTCGCTCGACAATTTTTGCAGGGGATAAATGGCCTTCCGCTGCCAGCCACGCAAGGACACCCTGATTGAGTGCGTAACGCCAGTGATGAAGAGCATGCGCCATTTCAGCGTTGGCGCAGCAGAACCTAGACCGCGTCAGCTACAATAAGAATCTCTGACTGGGTTGTCATATTCGAACCTGCCAAGGAAGAAGGATTCTCCCTCTTGGGTACTGCTGCTTTCGTCATCATCTGAGTCCTCCGTATCGTCGTCATCGTCGTGTTCGATTGTTTCTAGCGTATCACGATTGTAGGGTTTGCCACAAAATGTGATTTTATGCTTTGGGGGATGATTGCTTCTCCGGCAAGCATCACACTTGTGCTCCAGCATTGTCGGCACATCAATTCTGTACAGGTCGGGTCGTGCTTTGAGTGCTTTGTTGAACTCTTCACCCCAGACAGAAGACGCGAACTTAGACCCAACGAATCCTTCAACTTCTTTATCAAGCTTCCGGTAAGCAAGCTCGTACATTTCGTCATAGCGATCAAATGCTGGATTTAGTTTGTTATGGACCATCCACTCGATCTCCGTTTTAAAGTACTCGAATGGCTTCTTGTTAGCATGGTGTGTGAGTTCGAGGGGCACGCCCGCAACTCCGAGATCAACTCCCACGTTGTCGTCCTCGTCATCCACAAAGTCGTCCTCGTATTGGTCTAGGTTACCTCCTCTGCGCATTGCATGATGTATGGGCTCCGGCCATGATAAATTGGCCTCCTCAATATCGTCCTGCTCGTCCTCGTCCTGTCCGTTCTGCTCGTCCTCCTCTTGTGATTCTTCTCTAATACCGGCACGACGTCGTCTAAGTTCTTCAAGCTTCTGCTGTCTCTTGCCCCGCTCAGACATAATATGTCCATCTCTAGTGCGAGTACTGCGTAACGGTGTACCGGTCTCTTTTAGATCCTCCAATTCTCCTTGCAGATCATCCGAAGACTCTGACTCTTCCTCATGATCGGTTTCTCGGGTTGGGGACTGGATTTGCGCTACGGTCCTACGCTTCCGGACTGGCGTGGCCACCACATCCTCGCTTGAACTGTCTTCACTCCCATCTGTTATCACAACCGGCTTTGCTCTCTTCTTTGCGCTTCTTGCTTCTGACGGCCCAGCCTTTGCTCTAGGATCGCTATTCGTAGCACGGGTTACATGTGGCGAAATTGAGAGCTTCTGCCGCAGTCTCCTTGTAGGTGCTTCATTATCAGTCTCAAATGGGGGGCTGCTAGCTTGCGTATACGACTGAGAAAGCCTTGATTCCTTCGTAGGTGTCACTAACCTTTGAGGCGTCTGCGGCTGCGAGCTATCATCACTGGTCAAGGTTGTGGGCGCCGGCCTGGTTCTTCTGATACTACGAATAGGTACGTCGTCGTCTCCTTCTTCGCTGGTAAATCCCAGGAATGACCGTCCATCGTCTCCTGTAGTCGTGTTGGCACCGGCTACGGGTTGCATAGAGTTACTGAGAGCGTTCTGCTTGGAAGGATTGCCAGACAGTGGGCTTCTCTTCTGTGGTTCTGCATTTAGAGAGGCATATCAATCTCAATAGCCGATAAAGTGCATAATCCAAGGTGTAATTACCTGGCTCATTGTCCATTTCAACCTGCGATGATGCAGCCGGGGTGGGTAGCTGGTCCGAGCTCTTGCTTGGTGACGGAATCACCACCTGAACTTTTTGACTCCCAAAAGGCGATCCGGCATTGCTCGAAGCCCGACTGAACGGGGATCCCACAGGTGGAGAGCCTCCGACTCGGCGCTTCTTGGTCGGGCTTGACATTGCATCATCGTATCGAACTGAAGCAGCTCGCTGTCGCACTTTTTCAGGGTACTGGGAAGCAGCGGGAGAAGATGAAGGCAGGGGCGTGAAAGTCAGTTGTGTCTGGCGCTTTTTGCGTGTAGATCTCCGTGGCTGGGACATTGTGGGATTTTGGCGAATGGCAGTGTTGATCGTGTAATGGGAGGAACATATGAGGTTTGGGTGAAATGAGATGAGTAGATGAGCTAGGGAATGTGCAAAGCTGAGTGAAGTTGGAGGAGTGACGCGCTTCCTCGCGACTGCCAAGACTCGAACCCTAGCCGAGGAGCCCTAAGTGATCTATCTGGAGGAGTTGACGGGCTCACAGTTCGGTGGGGGTAAGTAGATCCTAAGTATATACGCCGGGCCTTGTTCGGATAAAATAGAATACACTCAGCATATACTAACACCTCATCGAGGATAAAAAAATTATTCAGTCTAGCGGTTTTTATATATGCGAGATAATCCTCATACGTAGAATATACGATGCTGATACTTAATATATATATATCTTTCACGAAGAAGACATAGTGAATCTATTACTATTTTATAGTGAAGAATTACTTATCTATGATATTAGTTAGAAATTAAAAAGTCTATAGTATATACTTAAAATATGCTTATACTAATTACTTAGCGTATGTAATAATCTAGATAAAGTGTTTATAGATTTTTCAACTCGGTCTAAGTCTATTCGGGTGAAATAAATACGTTCAGCTTTACCCCCACCGAACTGTAACCCGGGAGTGGGCAGGATATTCTCACTCCGTTGTTACAGCCCTAACTCCTTGGCTATGCGGACCAACAGTACCTCCATCCTCATCACATGACTTGCTCCACCTCCTTCGCCAGCTCTCTGAGGTCGGGAAAGGCTCCTTTTGCCTCCGCAATGATATCCTTCGCTCCCACAGCTTCACAAAGGTCGTCTACCTCGCCCCCTTTATCTGTCATATACTTCAACAGGCCGACGGCAACAAGCAGCCCTCTCATGCCGTCCTTGCTCTCTCTTTCGCGTCCCATCGCCTCAAGTAGACTAGCTACTAATTCCACCTGGCTGCTCTCCGGTAAGAAGTCAGCCTTCCCTTGAATGCGTTGTTGATGGTTTGAAGCAGCCATATTGAATGCTAGGGATGATGCCGCGACTCGTACAGGTGGATGTTCATTGTCCAAGAGGGAAGATGTGACGAGTTGAAATAGAGGTGTTGAATAGGACGGCTCCATGAAGAGTTTGATAGGGAAGAGTTGTGAAGTGAACAGATTGCATGCCATATGTAAGGTCACAATCCGTAGTTGATATGGGCAGCTTGTATCTAGGCGATTGACGGTATTTAAGATCCTGAACACGGTTTCGGAGGCATCTTCAGCGTAATAGCCACTCACCCGGGGATCCACGAGGGCTAGGCGGAAGAGGTCAACTATTGGAAAAAGGCTCTCTGGCTGTAAGGTTTGAAATGATTTGGATATGAAGGCAGAGACAGCAGGCAGATCGGGAAGTGGAGCATCCACAGCACCGGACTGCTGTCGAGTTGTGACAAAACCTTTCAGAGCGCCAACAGCGGTATCAGAGCCAGCGGTTCCCATTTTGGCGATGAGCTTCTCGATTGGTGGAATTTTGGTATAAGTGACGGGCGACTTATGCAGACGTTGCAAGGTCGGTAGTCGGAGGAGAGTATGTGGATGCGGAGGATGGGCCATCTGGATCAGTAGACGTACATTTCCACGAAGCTGCGCTTCGTTTGCGCCTGACCACTCGCTCTCTTTCTCTCCTTTGATGAACGTCATAAACGTAGGTGTGGCGCGGACTTGATACCTTGCGCCGATCTCGTATGCATCAGTGAGATCGACTTTTATCAGCACAGCTTTGTTGCCAGCTTCTGCTGCAAGTTCATCGTATGCTGGGTAGACGATCTTGCAGGGTGGGCAGGTGGCGGAGGTGAAGAAGACGACTGCGCAGGAATCCTGGGCCGAGGCCAGCAACTCGTCCAGTTGCTTCAACCTCGTCGGTTTATATACCACGCCAGGAACTTCCTCCTTCTTCTGCGATATGCTCATGCCTGTTTGTGGGCGAGATGAGAGCCCATTAGGTATCGATTGTGGCTGTGTTGCGGCTCGAGGGACGCTATTCGGTGGTACCGGAGCCTGTGTGATACCGCGCATGGCGTTATCGAGCTGAGGCTTCAACATCTGGCCGAAAGGCGTATTTAGAACTGTTTGTGGCAGTGAGGTGATGTGGTCTGGAATGCCTTTGCCGACTAAAAACATCGCAAAGTCATTCGTGAAGTTATTGCAATTGTGGAGGAATAGATCGTAGGACTGGGATCGTATCAGACATTAGCAATCGTTCACTGTAAATAATACGGCGCAACACCTTACCTCCATCGTATATATTGCCTTGAGCGATTCGAGGTACTCCAAAATCACTTCTAGAGGTAGTTGGGTTGCCCCCATGGAAATGACTTCCATAGGCTTTCCATGATGAGTCCTTCCCGGATATGATGTCTGAACACCTGCGCCAAAGAAGTATTCTATTCCACCGAACACCAGAGCTGTGTGGTAAACGGCCGCAATCTGTATTCCAAGCAGCTGGCCAGACATCTATAAAATTCAGCATCACATGCATGATCATCGGCGTTGTTGGAGGAGAACCTGTCTGGCGAGTCCCTACCACCCAAATGTTAGCCCATTAGATCAAGGCGAACCTGCGAGAGAGGTCCCACCTTGGATAGATCGTAAACATACAGTTCGACATCCATCTCGGCCGCTTAAGGGAATGATCTTGCACCCGTGGCTCTAGGAAGCGGGACGGTTGCAGATACAAGGTGTTCAAGGACGAAAGATCTGAGATGTTATGCTGATATGAGAAAAGGTGGCCTGAACCTCTACGAAGGATGATCACTCGGGTGGCTCAGCATGACGCGGAGTCCGTCGCCTGAAGCCCGGCCTGGCCGGGCCTGAGATAGAGTACTCTAGCGGCAGCGGGCCGTGGTCAGGGATTGAACGACTGCCGGGCGGGGAATCCCGGAAATATGTCCAGGGACTTATGCAAACCACCCTCAACGCTGGCAGCCGACAACACTACTCAGAGCAATAGTCCCAACCTCTAGATACTCATGCGAAGTCTCAATTGCAATCACCTTGGATCATTGAAGATATTCATTCTAGAGGTCGGACAGCCGTAACTCGGACGATGCGTGCCATCGCCTTCCATGGGCACTGTGCTAGACATGGCAGCTGCTCCTGCATTGCTAGGCAGAGGAGAGCAATCGATCGCAAAGCCTTCTTCGGCAAGCATCAACCCTGTTCAAGATGTCTCTCTGCTCCCCTTCCTGGCTATGAGATCGTTTCCAGCCCTTCCATGCCGGAGTCTCCCCTCTCATATTTGTCTTCAGACTCACCTTCCACATCATCATACGCATCATCACCGCTCAAATCCCCAAACTCCTCATTTCCAGAGCCTCATTGGTCATCGAACTTACTTTCCGACTCATCTTCCTTTGCCTCGCGGTGAGCCAAGAACTTCGCACCCTTGGGGCCTTCGATCACGGCCTTCAACTTGGCTGCGTAAGCTGGAGAAGCATAGTCGTTGATGAAGAACTGCGATCGCTATTAGCATCAGGCCAACTGCAAGCCTGACTGGCAGAGACTTGGTTCCTACCTTCTCGGCTCGGCATTTTTTTAAAGGCTCCAAGCAGCGTTCTCCATAGTATCCTTTGCGTGCTGAGCCACCATGCTTGCGACCAAGAGCGTTGTAAAAGTCCACCTTGAGGAACTTGAGATCGTTCAAGGCGAGCTTCTTGCATGCGTGGTTGACGTTTATGGTGGTCCAGTAGATTGCGTCTGCCTGGGTAGGGTCGTACTCATTGCCCGTGGTGCTGACGTAGAGGCGCAGTTTGGTGATGAGGCGACTGTAGTGACGAGGACATTCGGTCTTGACGAAATCCGGCCAGCGCCACATTGGTCGGTTTTGGTCCCCATAGAGACTCCATGTGAACCAATTATCGCCATACAGGACAGCGGAGGCTTCATCGTGGATCTTCTTGTTGGTACGCATGATCTCTGGGTGCATTTGATTGTCTCCTTCTCCAATGTCGACCATCAGCCCTTCGATGCGTTCACTTAGTTTGTCATGTTCGCTAGCGTAGCTGTCACCATCATCCTCTGCTGCGCTATCGTCGTCTACTGGCTTGAGCAATAATTCTCTGTATATTTGGTGGCGCACTGTGCGAGGGAGCTTCTCGAACTCGAATCCGCGCAACCCAGGCTTTGCGCTTCGCGTGCGCAACTCAACGGCCTCGAGGGCATGATCCTTTGCAAAAAGACCCATTTGGACGAGATCTCACCCAAGGAAGGTAATCTGTTGAAGTGGACTAAGCAGATCAAGTGAGTTGCTCAGAGGTTGTGACTGAACGAAGTCAGCAAATCTCACCGGTGCATGTGATTGTTTCATGGTGAATAATCGAGCAAGATAGTACTCACATTTGTTCTAGCGGAAGAGCATTGACAGATTCCGCAAATCGTTCATCGTGGATGAAGATGAAATGTGCAACGAGCTCGAAGACAAAATGTCAATAGCTTTGATCAGGGCGATGGAAAGTTGCGCCTCAATACAAGGCCAGTTTTCAAAGTGAACGAGACTTCATCACTAGCCGAGGTTTCGTTTTTCTTGGCGTAAACATTACCTCAGGGGGAAATATCAATTAAGCAGCTTGTGCTGGATTGCCAAGTGGATATCTCATTGCTTCGCATACAAGTACTGGTCTTATCCCACGAGGATGTGCCCTCGAATAGAATATTTGATTACAATGATTTTCTTAATCAAGTGAAGTTCAGGCCATAGATGAGCGAGAGGCATCTCGACCTTTGGCTTATTTCCGAAAAACATAACCTCCTCAACAATCATCATCCCCTTGATTATGGAATCAATGTAACTACCCCGGCATCTTTGCATATAAAACCGACTCCTTCCACCCCTCTTCTCTCCATCCTCCATTCCTCACCTCTCAGTCAATGTCCACCCCACAGACACTCCCCGCCAGCAGCGGCACCGCTCTCCTCCTCAAAAAGGACCAAACCGTCAAGGTAACCAACACCCACGGCCACCAAGTCTTCGACTCCTGGGCGCTCAATCCCTCAAACCCCGCCGAGTATCTCTCCACGTCCCATAACCACGCCATCCACCGAAAATTGCACTTCAACATTGGCGACACTCTCTACAGCAGTATTTCCCAAGCCATCCTATCCTAGATCAATAATACCAACAAACGCAATCACGACACGTTGATCTCAGCCTGTAATCCGCTGCGCTACGAAAAGATGGGAGTGAAAGGGTGGCATGCTAGTTGCGCGGAGAATTATCAGAAGGCTGTCAAGGGCCTCTCCACCCTATCCCTCAGCCAAGATAAAAAAGATCAGACTCCCGACCACACCGCCTACGCCACTGAATCTGTTCATGAATGTAAAGGTCAATGAAGAGGGAGGCATTGTTTTTCGGGGCGCCAACGAGCGAGGCAGGGGAGTATGTTGTTTTTAAGGCCCTAATGGATGTGATCATAGTGCTGAGTGCATGTCTGATGGATCAAAGGGCGAGTGAAGACTGGATACCAAATCCGAAAGAGGTTCACTATGCAGTCACGGAAGGGGAAGGGGTGGGAACGGACTTTAGTCGCGCCGATGTAGAGTACCTGCCAATGGAGTTTTGCTGTTGCTGAGTCACGATGATAAATAAATCCCTCGTTCTTGAGTGGAATACTAGTCACGCTTGCAGGGCGTATAGCTAGCCTATCAGACACTTTGCACAGATCGGCAGCGAGCTGCTAGTGTGTTGACTCGTCAACACAATTTTATAATGCCTAATTAAGGTTTCTCTCCTCCGCAACTCTTCCTTCTTAACATCAACTTCCACCGGCTAATTCCATAAAGCCTTCGCTCCATCACGGATATAGCGCGAAACAATCATCGCCATTTCTTAGGCAACGCCTACCTACCCGTCAACCGCGTCTTCAAGACGACCATCACCCTGAAAATGCCGGTTACGATCGTGCCAGCCAGCCACAATGATAGTAACACACAAGTCACGAGACCTCTTCAATACAAGGGCCAGCTCTTGGAGATAGACCTCACAAAAGAGAGTTGCGAGAATATGCTCCAGTCCACCTTCGATGAGCTGAAGGACCCTCTCTCCCTGGCTTCCGCCAACGGCTTTGTTCACAGTGCCCTCAAAGCCCACAGCGAGCACTACCATCTCGTTATCAGCCCTGTCAACGTCTGGTTTGCCATCCTATCACAGCTGAATATTTGGATCAATGCAAATGGGGCGGAAGCTCGGGGTAAATTCTTCGTCGATGTGGGCAAGAAGGGTTTGACCGTCACCATTCAGGATACCGGTGACGAAGGGAAGAATGGTGAGAATGTGGTGCGCGAGATCGAGAAGAACATGCCTGATCCCGGATTGAGGGAGTGGATCTTGCCGGCTTTCACCGGGAATTCAGCGTTCAACGCGGTCGTCGCTTCCGTACTCATGATGGGTGACATGCAGAAGTACTTCAGCTACCCCGCCCGCAGCGAATGTGGTGTTCCTTCGGTCGTTCTACTTGGAGAACAGTCTGACTGGGTGGAACTGTACAAGAAGCTGGACAAGCTTGAGACATTTGGTGTAGAGCCCGCTCAATTCAGATGCCTATTGGTGCCAGTCATTGCGCGCTTCATCAAGAGCTTCGACGACCCAACAAGCAAAGACGTTGTTGACTTCTGGGGTCACATGGTCAGTGTCGAATCCCGGAGTGTCGATGGTGGCGTATCCGTGGAATACGAGGGTTGGATATCTGCCTTTTGCTTCTGGAGTGAGCAGGGAGAAAACATCAATGATCGACATATCCAATTCCGCGGAGGACGAGGCTTCACACTTGACGGTGTCATCTACCACGCCATCGACTGTGGCCAAATCCCACCAGTCTACGCATCATTGCCCGTGAAGGTCAACGACGATAGAAATGAAATTAATGCCCTCATGGTCGTTTGGTCTGTGGCGACGCCATGTATAATTAGCGATGGAACGAAGGTTGAGAGTGATGTGAACTCGAAATGCGTAGGCATCGCTTCAGTTTGGGGGTTGTTCAACAAAAAATCCAGTGTGAAGGAGACCGCAGAGGCGAGTGAGGCCGGTCGAGAAAAGTTGGCTCAAGAAACCGAACCTAAGAAGTCGGAAGACGGTCTCAGCACCACCACCACCTGCGTGAACAAACCAGGTCTCATCAGCCGCCTCATCAACCTTTTCTCACGAACAGGTATCTCGAAACAGCGTGAACATAGTATGGAAAAAGGTGAATAGTTGGCTGTGCTTCGACCTGTCTCTGCTAGACCTCGTGCTCTCGAACTTCGTCGAGGGTGATTTGACTCAATTGGATCATCTTAGATAGTGCAAGCATAAAGACATGACGAAAATGAAAGTTCAATACCCTTAAAATAATCGCATACGGACTGTCTATTGATCATTTGAGTGTTCAGGCGGACCGAGAGCGAGACAAAGTTGTCACCGTTGCTCACCGATGGGCAGTGGAGCGTGGGATTGATGCAAATGTTGACCTTTCCAGGCCGCCTGGTCAGGCATCTGATATCTCATACTAGCGCTCCTCAAACGACTTGTTTGAAACCGTAGGAGAATCTCGATAGGTAGACTTTCCCGAGATGACTTTCTCGTTCCTCATTAAGATCGACCGGCCTTTGACCCCGGCCGTAGCGCATTTACGATGAGCTGGTCCTTACCGGATTCTGTGCACCTGTTGATAAAACCGTAGACCATACCCAGGAAAACTACGTCAGCCGTTATCACACAGCCTTTTCTCGTCTCGGTGATGTGGTTTTCATTTGATATGAGCAGAACTGCTTGATACCGCGGCTCGACACCGTTTCAACAATTATCGGAGAAGGGATCTTCCGCCACAGCCCCTTTCCGAGACTGGAGCGCGCGGGATTAGTAGGTACCCGGCATAAGACTCAACCTCCCGCCGTCAAGTAAGACCACGTTGCCGTTGCAGTAAGCGCCCGCGCGGCTCGTGAGATACAGGATGGCCCCACCCATGTCTTCGGGGGTACCGACTCTTTCCGCCGGGATGGTCTCCTTTGGAAAGACGCCATCGCCGATGATACCGGCGGCCAGGTCGGACGGGAAGACTGTTGATGTCAATGAGTCGGAGTCTCCCCCGGAAGGGAATGGATGGGAAGACTTACGTCCCGGAGCGACGACATTGGCCCTGATTTTATACGGCACGAGGTTGGTCGCCATGGCCTTCATCAACAGCGTCGTCGCCGCTTTGCTCTGGCCGTACGCGTAGCCTCCCGGTACCCGCCTGTTGAAGCCGGCGATGCTGCCCGTGGCGATCACCTGGCTCGTCTGCTCCACGTTCCCCGTCTCGTTCCCCGCGTCGAGGAGTTTGAGGAAGGCGACGGTGCAGAAGAAGACGGCGGAGGTGTTGACGGCGAACGTCTTGGTGTACTCGTCGAACGACTGGTTCCAGAGAGCCGATTGGTAGTCCTCCAGCGACGTCTCCGGGGTGATGGAGCTGGACTGGGGACCCCCGATCCCGCTGTTGGCGATCAGGACGTTGATGTAGCCGACGTCCTTCTCGATGTGAGAGACGATGGATTGGAGAGCGTCTTTCGAGGTGACGTCTCCGACTAACGGGATGATGTTGCCGTGGGGAGACTCTTTGGCGGCGGCGTCCAGCACTTCCTTACGGCGGCCGATGATGTAGACTTTGTGGGCGCCGTTTAGAGCAAGGGTTTTGGTCATCATGAGACCGATTCCACTTCCACCGCCCGTGATGACGGCGACGAGGTCCTTGACGTTGAAGAGGTTTGCGGCCTCGAGTGAAGACATTGTGAGGACGGTAGGATAAGAACGATTGGGCCTGTTCTCCTTTGCTATGTCAAAGATTTCAACTCTTCCGGTGTTTGAAGTTTGTGATGAAACTGTTAGTAGCAAGAATGATGTCAGTGATTAAGGCTGAGAATGGGATGTACGAATAGCCTGAATTCATGCAGAAAGCGTGCGGGAGAATAGAGTCGAAGGCCTCGATTTTTATAGCGAGAGATGAGGGTGTTGATATATCAGAGTACTCTCTATAAGCAATTGATCATGAGCTGCAGATTCCGATGTTTTCCAGTCACGTCAATCTATTCAGTGCCGCACTGCCGGCACCAAAAGCAAATAAAAAACCACTACACCATTGTACCAGCGCCAATAGGAATCGAACCTATTACGAACTAAATACCCTCTAACCTCCAAAAGCACTCCTGGAGTCCTGATTGCTAGGCCTCTCGGGCCGGGCCAGGTTCCCAGGTACTAGTACATCCGGAAAGTTCGCTCTTCGCATTTGACTTTCGTCCCGAAAGCTAAGATTACGTTGACTCTTTCGAACCAGATATTGCCAAGCATATCAGTGTCCCTCCATCTTGTTCTTTCAAGACGTTGAAATTTGTACATCAAGTTTGGGCGGCGCCAAGTCGGTTGCAAGAGCACGTAAGATGGCTAAACCTCGGTGCTCAGATTCCTGTCGGAGCCTAGATGAGAAAGGAGCTAGGACTGCTCGCAAAAAAGAAATTCCGAACGTAAAACCCCTCATCCAGCCACGTGTTCTTATCAGCGACTCATCACATCTCCCACATCAACCGTGATCTATGAGCTTTGGTCACACTGGCCATCTCGAGCCGTGTGATAAAAAGCCAGTCTACGCTCCCGTCGACCCCCTACAGCACGCTGGAACGAATCCGCTTGCCAGTCCGGGCTTGAGAGAAGTCATCCGTGCCCGTATCTGATACGACCAGCATAACATGCCAACCATTACTATTTACTGTGTTCTCCCCTGCCAATCTTTCTCCAAATAGCTTAAAGGAGGTGGACCTTGGAATCAGCCGCAGAAGCTGAGCAAAAACAAAATCTTGGTCAAGAAAATGGTTGAGCGCGGAGCAGATCCGAACGCCCAGAGTGAAGACCACGGCGCTGCTCTCTACGACGCGGCATTCCATGATACTTTTCGTCGATTCAAACTGTTACATGAAGGAGGAGCAGATCCGAACACGCGGAGTGAATACTACGGCATTGTTCTCTACGACGCGGCATTCCATGGAGATCTAATTCAAGTCAGACAGTTACTTGAGCGGGAGCAGATCCGAATATACAGGGTGGATACTACGGCAATGCTCTTCAAGCAGCGGCGTATAATGGTTCACTGGAGATAGTGAAGTTGTTGCTTGAGCGTGGAGCAGATCCGAATAAACAGCATGGATATTTCGGCAATGCTCTTCAAGCAGCCGCCCAGAATAATAAGTCTCTGGAGATAGTGAAGTTGTTGCTTGAGCATGGAGCAGATCCGAATATACAGGGTAGACACTACGGCAATGCTCTTCAAGCAGCGTATTATGGTTCTCTGGAGATAGTGAAGTTGTTGCTTGAGCGTGGAGCAGATCCGAATGAGCAGGGTGGATACTACGGCAATGCTCTTCAAGCAGCAGCGTTTTATGGATCCCTGGAGATAGTGAAGTTGTTGCTTGAGCGTGGAGCAGATCCGAATAAGCAGGGTGGATTCTACGGCAATGCTCTTCAAGCAGCGGCGTATAATGGTTCACTGGAGATAGTGAAGTTGTTGCTTGAGCGTGGAGCAGATCCGATCAAACAGGGTGGATACTACGGCAATGCTCTTCAAGCAGCGGCGTATAATGGTTCTCTGGAGATAGTGAAGTTGTTGCTTGAGCGTGGAGCAGATCCGATCAAACAGGGTGGATACTACGGCAATGCTCTTCAAGCAGCGGCGTATAATGGATCCCTGGAGATAGTGAAGTTGTTGCTTAAGCGTGGAGCAGATCCAAATAAGCAGGGTGGATACTACGATAATGCTCTTCAAGCAGTGACACGACAGGGTAATCTGGAGATGGTGAAGCTGTTACTCAGTCATAATGCGGACGTCACTATACAGCCGAAATCGATAAGCCGCCGTTCTCTGCTTCACGTTGCCGTTGAGTCCGGCGATCTTGCTGTTCTGGAAACACTATGGGATGCGGGTGCAGGTATTCATTTGACCACACAGGATGAGTCTGGATCAACACCACTCCATGTTGCGGTCGACAAAGGGGGCGTTCCAATTGCCAAGTATATTCTCGATCACGGAGCTTCGCCGGATATAGAAGACTTGGGGGACACAAATTCATTTCAGTTGGCTATGCGCAAAAAGAATCGCGAAATGGTGCTCTTACTTTATCCAAAAACCACCGCCGGTCTATCCAAGATAACCGCATCAGACTGGCGACTTTGTTCTGACGATGTTTCTAATTGCAACCTTGAGATGGTTAGTGATCAGTCAGCCAAGGTCGTTTTCAGAGATAAGAGCTTGGAACGGGAACTTGTTGAAATGTCATACCCTCTCTCCGGGCGGACAGAATTACGTGCGCATTCCACTGACTTCATGAACAAACATCGCAATGGTAAACGAATGTTGTAAGTCTCATTGCTCCTAGCTTATATGGGGTTTTCTCTCGTACTAAATTTAGAAAGCATCCTTGCGGATGGTACTATGCTGCCTCCTCAAGCTGAATTCAGTGTCCACTGCCGCTGGTGGCACCTGTCGCACGGGCACTGGAAGGTCCTGATGAGCTCAGCCCCAAGCCAGAATACTGTTCGCCAAACAACTGCAGAAGATTGTAAGTACGAAATATCCGTCTGGCGAGATAGCTTAGACGATCACTTGAACCGTTTATTAATGCCGCGAAGGCTTTTTAGAATGTGCGCTGTCTTTCGACTGCTATGCCTTACCAGAAAACATGGACCTTTGGCCGAATGATGTACAGCTCGAAGCAGATGCTCTTCAAGAATTCCAAAGCCGGCAAGGAATTCTGTGGATTATGATGAAGTCTGGAGCTGACGAAGTCTACGATTCGAGAAATCTGGAATCTCGTATCTTCTTCAGTACTTCAGAATATGCTGAGATACCTAAAACGGCGACAGATCTTCTCTGTCCCCTAGTACTGAAGGTCCAAAGCATTTGGGGTCAGAACTTCAGCCGGTTTCAGAAACATCTTGGGTTGATGGTATGAAGTCTTCCTTGTGACATTGAGCCAAATTAATACTCCCTAGCGTACGAGGATCTTGAGATCGAGCGGTAGCGATCCAAGCTTGATACAGTACCTTCTGATCGATGCCAAACTTCTAGAAATCCTCAAAGAAAATTTTACGAAGCAAATTGAAAATCTTCAATCATTTCGAGATTGGTACCAGAATGAGTCGGCGAGAGTGTTACACGAATTGCCTCCCGATGAGGTGAAAAAGAAGATGCAAGATTTTACGAAGGCAAGCGACGAACTACAAAGGACAACTGAAAAGCAATTAAGCATTCTTACCGAGTCATCTCAGAACATGATCCAATTGGTATTACCAATATGTAGTGCGTCTATGAGAGTACAGACCTAATACAGGGAACAGGAGTTCAACTTGACGTCCATTGCAGAAGCGCAAAGATCAACATCGACGAATAAAAGCATGAAGCGCCTTAGCTGGATTACGGTATGGATACTCCATTATAAGGTGCTTTTTTCAAGCTAACTTCTGAATAGTTCATATTCCTTCCACTAGTGTTCATTGCGGTGAGATCAAGAGGAAATCCACATAAAATGGGACCTAATTGAGCTTCATAGAGTCTTTTCGGTATGAATGTCGACGTACTTAAGAGCAACCCTGCTTGGTGGTGGTATCTGCCATTCGCTACACTCACCACGCTCCTAACCTTTGTCGTATGGATTGTATTCAAGCGCAATAAAACCGTAAGTTTGGTGAATTCACAATTCGGCCTCCTCCATTGACTCAGTACTTTGCAGCTGGAAGGTAATCTTGAAACTCGTTTCAGGTGGCTTTTTCAACGGCCAAAAGGAGAAGAGGACCTTGAAATGGGCTCAGAGTCAGGACTCAAGGGGAAGAGAGCAAAGACGACAGCCTTTCCTGCATCTGGGAAGAAAAGATCATAGTTCAGGGTGAGGTATGGTAGGGCATAACAAGGTAGAAAAATCCGCTTGATCGATGCTAGAGGTTTTGAGACTGACACAGCGTGTCTCTAAATAAGAATCGTTGCCTGTCGGTGTGGTTGCGCGGCCGGGCTCGGAGCTTTTTGCGCACGAATAATGACTGAAGAAGAGATTGATTTATGAAGGCTAGATAGAGAATTTCTTTCTTCGTACGAACAAACGTAGGGCCGAACAATGAGACTTCGCAACTCCCATCAGCTTCCTAGTGAGCCAGCTCCACCGTGACCTCCATCGTCACTACACTCCAGTACTCTCAATCTCACTCCCACCCTTATCTCCCAGCTCACGACTCAGCTTAGCGCTGCCTCTACTACGGGTCAAACAGCAAGACAAAGGTCCGAGAACAAGACTACTGACGGGAAATTAAGTGTCTTCAACGTCATGATAACCGCATTAAACAGGGTCTGTATAGCTTTCGCGGTCGCAATCGGGTGAAGAAGAAAACAACCTTTATTGATCACGGGCAAAAGGTTCATGCTCCAAAAACTCCGAAGTACAAATCCCCAAACTGTCTATTGACTGCCATGGGGACCGACTTATGGGGACGCAAGTTGGCCGAGTACGCATCCTGCCAACTCTGCATGCCCTTCAGCTCGGCCGTCTTATCAATATGTGCAACGCAATTGATCTCGACGTAGGGATGCGCATGATGCTGTCCCGAGTACAAGGCTTCGCTGTCCATGTACACGGTCGTGATGCTGAAGAGGCAGTTTCCGCACTGGGAAGTCCGATTTTGCCGCAACGGTATCTGTCGCCGTCGAGCTTGGCTTCGGCGACCCAGCTTTCCCTGAGGCCTTGGAGGATGTACTCGCAAAAGTCTTGGTAGTATGGTTTACCGGGACCGTAATCGGTGTTCAGACGCTGTTCCAAAGCTTTTCGCGGTGTCCTGCTTTACGGTTGAGTGTCGATATCGTGAGGAGAATTGCCTTGTGATGACCCACAGATCCTGCACTTCGCTGAAGCATTCCGCGCACCGAGCGATGAGCTTTTGAGTTGTTGGGTGGGCGCTCAAATCGAGAATACCCGCGTGGTCGCCATTCGTGGAAGCTGCCATTGCTTTTGAAAGCATTGAAACATACCTCCAGAGAATACGGTTAATGAAATGGTGATCAATTGTTGAGATCTGAAACCCGAAAGAGGAAAAGAAGGGTGATGGGAAGCCATTCTTATACCCGATGGATAGCGTATTCACCAGCCCCGCTCTCTATCACCTTTCAGATTGGGTGGATGGCTGCGGATGGTTGATGCCATTCTTCGGGTTCGAAGTTTGGTCTAAAGCCTGCAGCGAGTGGATTTCCTTCTCTCCTGACCATATTCTTTTTCCTTAGCCGCCGTGTTTGCGAGGGATTCGTGTCTTTAGGTGTGCTTGACATCTAATGATGCAGAACCCTTGCAGATATGCAACACCGACCCGCATGAGTGCTTACGCTTTGCAATTGCATGCCAACCAGATTCAGTAGCAGGAAGTCCAACAACAGAAAAGCTTCTAAGCAAGACAAACCCCGTAGTAAGCGAAGGCCCCGACTCACAAGCCCCGGAAATCTGTCCTCCGATGCTCCAAAGCTCCCTTCTGGCTCTCGCCGTCCTTATTCTCACCGTCTAGACTCTGGGACTTAAAACTGCTAGGTGTTGCTATTTTCCATCGCTAAGGCTATAGAATCGTGAACATGCTGTTGTGAGAAGCCAAGGACTAGCTAATACAGGTATTAGTAAGGTGTATACAGGGAATCAGAGCCACGAACTCACACCTAAAACGACCAGACTGCTTCTTCCGCTTTTCTCTGCCTGTTTTCCAGATTCCCAAAACTAGAATTCGCTCTACTGCTCCTACAGCAGAGCGTTAGAATGGTCAATTTTCTCTAAGACCTATCCATTGACGAGAAGCGAAGACCGAGACCGCGGTCGCGGGAGTTAGAAAGGGTTTCCGATTAGCCTGGATTCTGACTATACTTGGCCCTGCGCCTGTTTGTGCCAAAATCCAGATTACGAGTGGTTGAGACTCAGACTAAGGACTTTCTGGATGGTTTGCCTTTCCTGTTTGTATGACATATCCTTCTTCCCTATCAGGCTTCGTCTTGCCATTCTCGCACTGCGCAAATCATCCGGAAGTATTGAAGCCCATCTTCGCATTTCAGGAAGAGAAATTCCTTGAGGACGCGCCGAAAAGGCTCCTTCATGTGATTGAATTAATGATAGTATAGGGGTACTAGGGAGATAGGAGCATGGGGGTAAGTAAAGATGCTACAAAGAGTCTGAGAAAGTAAGTAGGAAGCAATTAATTTCTATGAAGAAGACATATTATCTATAAACAACATGTACTGCCCATTGGAGGTATCAAGCTGGCTCGGGTGGGAGGACAAGCCTTATTGAATCAGGCGATGATGGACAGCAGGCGGCAGGCCGAGGCAGCTAACGAGGCATCTTCATATGCCCCTTTACAATAAGAGCAGGATCAACACACCGTGGACTTCGGCGGAAGAGGCGCGACTGAAGGTCTTGAGGATGCTAAGAACCGCTGGGACGCGATCGCAAACAAGATGATGGCGATATTATCTGAGAAACCTTGACTGAGACATCGAAGGACGAAGGAACCGTCAAGAAGCACTGGTATAAGGTACGAAGCTCTGGAACAATCATTCCGACGGAAGGCTAAGTGCATTGCAGGGTAGGCATTATGCCGACTTTGCGGATGATGGTTTAAGATTTTCAAATAACATGGCGAACTGATAGTGACTTGTGAGGATCAGTGCTAGTTTAGGGTGACTGGGATGACGCTGTCGCAGAAGATAAAGCTAACGAAGTCGTTTGCAAGGACAAATTTCGGAGAAGAAAGCAGCGGGATCAGCCAGAGACAGAGGGGGGACCGCCAAAGGAGGCTGCCAAGATCGAAGACACAAGAAGCGGGGAACATGTTGCGATGCAAAAACTGTCGGATGGTGACGCAGCACCATTGGATCATATGAAAGGACTCGACCAGCCCGAGGCGGCAACGGTGCCTAACGTAGAGCCGCCCTCGGACACATCTGAGCCTAAGGTATTTTAACCACGCTCAACGCTACGCCTCGTACCCATTTTCTGGAGCAGATTGAGACAAACTTACTCTCAACGTTTGGAAAGCAAGTTGTTTGAGCCTCCTCGACCATCTCGTATCAAAGTCAAGAGAACAGAAAGCTATACTTCGCAACAGGGTGGCGATGATGGTCGAGGGTCCGAGACCGCGAAACTCGAAGTCCTACAAATAGCTCAACAAACTTGGAAGGATCCGATTATTGATCGCGATCACCTCTCCCGTTCTAAGAGATGGCTCAACGGCTAAAAGAAATGGTTAATCCCAAAAGGAGTTCAAGTGACGCCGGTCCCATCCAATGGGTATTGAAGCCTGCCAGTGAATAGGATTATCCTCGCTTAACAGAACAGAGTGATCAAGAAGCTGGACCGACAAGTTCACGAAGACGCGAAACTCGAAGTGCAACATATTTTGACGGACCCGCTTAACGATCGGTATAGGAGTAGCTTCGCCCCCAAGGCTGCAAGATTGTAATAAAAATAGTATCAACCTCAAGCATCAAACCTGCGCCCACGGTGGACAAGATTGTCTTGAAGAGCGGCATCTGAAACCTGGCGATTCGTACAGTCTGTTACTCGATATTTGGAATCGACAGCGATTCTACTGGCCTCCTGATCAATACCGAACCCCAGTAGAACCCTCACGTCAGGGTGAATCGTGTAAAAGGTTATGACTATATACTGAATTGGCGTCGTCGGATTCGGGGTGAGAGATAGTTGTTGTGTTGGTTGTGCCCTGTGTTTACGAGAAGGTGGTGAGAAATAGGCTTACGGTTGAGCTTGTATGGCATAAGTCTATCTCTCGTCCGGGTACTGATGGTCGAGCTCTCGAATACCTTAAGCAAACGATGGCTAAAAATGATAGCTGTATTGTTGACTAAAGATGATAAAGTTCATATAGCAATAATAGCAGATAATCGCTCATCCGCCGCCATTTGGGGGGGGGGGGCCTAGAACTCTGAGTCTCGCTTTGGCACATGCAAAAACATGGTCGCTTCTTAACGTTGGCTACCACAAACCCCCCTACCAATTAGAACCTTTATGTCTAATGTGGTTATCACCTGAATGGCGTGTCGCTTCATCCCCTGCTCACTTAGCTCACTCGCTAAAGCAGCCCTGCCCGTGCTTTTAGCGTTGGCATTCACACAAGGTCGCGCCCCCATCTGATAATGTACTAGACATCATAGATATAAAAGAATTAATTATGTGGAAGTTAATCTCCCCATTACCCCGATTCTAAAGATGCTAGAATTATAAGACTAGATATATTCGATAAGATATATAGAGTAAACGTAGTTAAAGAATGTTCGGGGCGGCTCTTGATCATTGAACCATGATTCTTTAATCTCTTATATCCCTGGGAAATACCGTTTAATTTATTGAATTTTTATGGTATCAGAGTCGCGGTATCGAGGTGGGGGCGTGGTGTGAATGCCAGAACACGCTAATTGGCTTGGCACTATCACAGGCTATTCCCTGCTATTTCTCCGCCGCCAAGCTCAAACATGAATGGATGAAAAAGGGATTCCAACAACTCTTCAAAGCAAGCAAAACCCACCGACGCAACAGGAGAGCAAAACCATACGCTTCGCAAATGGCTTCCCAAAACCCTAACCCTCCAATATCCGAGATAACACCTGGCCTCTTCATCGGCGATGTCGGGTCTTCATGGAACGCAAACGGTCTCCGGCAGCACCAGATCAAATCCATTCTCTCAGTGAACGACGAACCTACCGCCATGTGGCGCCGCGCCAGTTTCACCAGTATCATAACCCAAGACCGCCACCTCAAGATGTTCTGCCTCGATTCTTCCCACCAAGACCTCCTGGTCCATATGCGCCGCGCCTGCGAGTTCATTGAAACCTCACTTGCCCATGGGGGGGTTCTGGTGCATTGCGTACAGGGTGTCTCGCGCTCCACAACGTTTGTGATTGCGTATCTGATGCGCCGGGACCGGCGCGGTTTGGACGAGGTGTTGGCGGATGTGAAATTGAAACGGAAAGTGCGACCGAGCGAAAATTTCATGACGCAGCTGGGTTTGTGGGGTCAGATGGAATATGAAATCTGGGAAGACGAGGAGAAGAAGGTGCCGAAAGCGCCGTATGCCAAGCTGTTGAAAGAAAAGGGTTTGACGGCGGTGCTGCCTCCGAGCGCGGCGGAGATCGCGTTTGGGTTTTAAAGACTTTGGTGAGGAAGCTTGAATCTGATTCGTGCTTCTGCAAAGAGTCTTAGACCAGAGGGGCAAAACCTGGATCTATCGTGGTTTGCTATTTTGATGAGCAGCCAGTTCATCACCCTATTGCACCCCTGCTTCTCCGGCCCCGCCCCCAGCCCCTCTCACCATCCTCTTCCTCTTCAGAACACTCACCACCTCCATCTCCCCCTTCTCCTTCGCCCACTCCACCGCTGTCCTCCCCGATCCGTCCAGCAACTCCAAATCTCCTCCCGCCTTCTCAATCGCCTCCAGAACACCTCGATACCCGTTCCCTGCCGCGTAATGAACCGCCAAGTTCCCATGCATGTTTTTGACCGAAGCGTCGCAACCAGCACTGAGCAGTAGCGTAGCTGCTTCCTTCCGTTCAGCGGCTAAAGGGTTCCACCATCTGCCCGCAAGGTAGAAACGACGGCCCGAGGCGAGCATGATGAGGGGTGTGTTGCCTCCTGAGTCAAGTAAGTTGGGATTTGCGCCAGCGTCCAGGAGGAGAGCGATGGAATCGTTGCGAGCATTCGCTGCGGCGTAGTGCAAAGCCGAAGAGCCTTGGGTGTCCTGATGGTGCACGCTAGCGCCGTGGCTGAGAAGGACCTTGAGCGTGGCGGGGGAGCCGATCTCTGCGGTCCAGGTCAGGGCGGTTTTGTTCCAGCGGCAGTCGGTAGTCGAGACATTGGCGCCACGGGTGAGGAGTAGGTCGACCGTTTCTGGAGTGAGGCCCCAGTAGGCGGTGATAACGGGGACGCCGGTAGAACTTGCGCTGTTGGACAGCAGGATGTTTACGAGTTGTTCCTGAGCTGTTGCGGCAGAAATGTGTAAGGGTGTCAAGCCTTTGCTGCTGGCGTGAACGTCGGCGTTGTGCGCGAGGAGGCTGTGGACTATTTGGGCGCGCCTCTTGGAGATGGTAGAATGGGAAGAATTGGCGGGTAGGCCGTACATGAGGAATTCGTAGAATGCCTCAAAGTCGGGACCACGTTTGTCGAGGAGACGGCTCATGAAGACGTGGTTGGCTTGCATGCAGGCGTAATGCAGAGCACTGAAACCGTCCGATTCTTTGGCTTCCGGCTCGGCCCCGAATTCAAGTAGTTGGCGGACAACCGCATCATTGCCCTTGAAGGCTGCGAGGAACAATGGTGTTAATCCCATGCCATCCATTATTTCGATATCTGGGTTCCGTCTCAAGAGTAGTTGAGTCATTGATCCAGACTCATCCTTCATCGCTGCAAAATGAAGACACGTTGCATGCTGATCATCTACCGCATTGACATCGGCATGATTCTTGAGTAAGAGTGTCACAGTGTCTATGTTCTCGGCATTGACTGCACACATTAGTGGAGTTTCACCGTTGACATTGCGAATATTGATGTCAACCCCGCGGCTGAGAACGTCCAGCGTCAAGTACGCGTCCTGCTTGGCCGCAAGGTGGAGAGCCGTCTGACCCTCTTCGTTCATGAAAGTGTGAACCTGCTCCTGTGCTAGCATACGCCGGATTTCGGGTTCATGATCTTGCTTTGCCAACGTTGGTGAGCGATCAAGTTCGGAGTAATCATTACCGTCTACTTCTCCGTCGAAGGTCGAGACTTGCGCAGCATCCGTTGGTGAAGCCCACGGCGAAGGAGTTGGAGACTCGATTGCGGTAGAAGCAGTTTCGAGAGGCCCCGTCATGGCAAAATTGATATCCTTCATTGTTGTAATATGAGGTTGCAAGTGGTTGTATTATTATGAAGAAGGGCGGCTGTGAAGCCTACTACTACGTAGTGGTGGCTAACCCTACAAGGCTGGGAGCATATTCCAACACTCATGCGTGGGTCGAAGCCTTTAACACCGGCTTGATTCGATGTCCCATGACATTCCGGGCTTTCTTGCGCTATTGCCGGTTCGTAGCAGAACCTTTTATAATACGACCAAACATGCTAGTCAAGGCCTCAAGTAAATTTCGAAATTATACGAGCTCGTACATTTATCGAGGCATTAGTCGAGTATAGGAAGTAAAACGGGAGGGATTCTTGTTAGAGAGCTTCAGATCACTATATCTTTTAGAAATATCTCCAGCTCCTCAAAGGATCGCGTTGTGTTCTCACGCACAAGGTATCCTCTATGTGGAGGCTAGAAGACGTCCAGTGATCAAGGAAAGGGACCTGAAAAGCAAGGCGTCAATGTAAGAATGAATGGCCGTGGAGACCCGAGCGCTGAAACACACGAAGGAATAATGGATAATGCGTCTTTTAGCCGAGGACCAATTTTGCGTGTAGCTCTTTGCTCTGTCATATTATTTCATGCTGAAATTCCGTATTGCGACTTTCATATGGCAACGCATTCGCCGTTTGATAGACCTCTATATTCTGTTGTAGTATTAACAGCTGCTCTTACAAAGTCCTGAATTAGTTGTTAATGAGCTCGTCTGTTATGGCGAAGTACCTGGTGTAGCGTTTATAATGGCGAGGTCATGCTGACTCGAGCTCCTGAGGGCGAGAACATTTTTAGACCCACAGTGATTGCCATCCTGTATCAATTTGACAACTCATATCTTCTGATTATATCACCACTGGCCCTTCCATTTCAAGATCTCTCTTATGCTCCACGCTAGGTGGACATAAATAGGTGCAGTGGTGGATGATAAAAGCGTAGTGATCTACGTAAAAGAACGATGGTACATAATCACATAGAGGGTAAAGAAATCGACCGGCGTTACCCCAAACATGAAATTTTCAACACGGGAAAGAGCAGTCCATTTGATTTTCCTGGTATTGACTTAGACACTTGTGGCCAAAGGAAGAAAGAAGAGGAACAGGATGTAGATGTAGGGTAGGGTGGAACGACATACCGCATTAGTGTTTCCGGTTCTGGAACCACATACAGGGCCGTCTCTGGGATTCCAACCGCCAATACTGCAAGTAGCCGGGCCACTCGTGGTCCTGCTCGTCCACGACAGAGATCCATAGGTAAATTGCACGTAATCGTTCTCATGTTCTCCCACAATGACTAGAGGAAGGGGGAGCTTGCTTGTGAAAGAGTACGGATCGGATGTATTGATTGGATCGCCTAATGTATTGTTAGGAGGATCGGTCTCCGTGTCTCCGATGTCGTTCTTGTCGTTGTCCACCATGTTGACAATGGCGAACAAGTTCTGGCTGTCGTCCGCGCAGTCTTGCCATTCTCGGAGATGGAAGGAACAGGTTCCGGTGGCGTAAGCTGGAGGCGGAGCTACTGATGTAGGCGTCGGCGTGGACGAGGCAGGTGTGGGCACAGCTGAGGCAGCTTGGGCAACCACCAATGGACGGATCTCACTGATACTGCAAAGATTCATAAAGTAAAGTTCTGCAAAAGTGATGAGCCTTCAGTGTGTCACAAATTTGGGGGCTTACAATCGTCTTACCGGTGGCGGCGGCTGCGTAGCTCTCAGCATTATAGTCCGGGCGTGTGAGGTTGTTATCGGCTTGGTAATTTCGTAATAAGTCTCTTGCACCGAGTAGTTCACATCCAGTTTGGGCGTCATCAGTGCCGTGTCGCCCTATATCATTGCCTTCAGTAGGTGCTAGTAGGCCGGCCTGGGTGCTAAGAGAATCAAGGTGGGTGAGCTCATGCAGGATAGTTTCGCCTGTAGCCATCAGCATGACGGAAACGTGGTCTCATTGATTGCGCAACTGACCGGCGGTAGCATAAAATTGACAATTCCGCCTGCTGTTGCCTTGATTATCTTTGTTGCACCAGCCAGAGGCAGAATTATCTCGATATGGCACACCGCCTTCCTTGCTTGAGTCATATAGCAAGAATCTTGTTGAAGCTGCTGTCCAGAAAGGCGTGCAGATGTTGATGATCTTTTCATCGTTTGGAGCACCAACGCTGGCATCCGTGACAGCGACACTTTAAAAGTTGGACCATGAGCAGCTTTTCAAACTTCAGAATCGGACGTTTGAGCTTACGAGTTGCTTCCAGTACAGACTGATACACTTCCAGAGCATTCGAATTGAATGCTGAAGTATTGGGGAGTATCGCCTTTGACAGCTGACATCATATTCTTGAAGTGAGTGTATTGATCATCAGTCTGATCGCCACCAAAGTAGTGAGTGAATCTGAGAGCTAAGTTATTCTTTGCTACTTGGGTGTTTTCAGGGTACAAGCCTTACGCTAGATTGTTTTCTCCAATGCTGGCAGCGGCATCAGCGAGCGCTACTGCATCTGTGTATGCTTGTTGAAGAACGCTCTTCATGGTAGCGAATCCATTGCTCGGCTTATAACCACTGCTGGTTGGAGGAGCATTGTCGCAGTTGGCATCGTATGTAACCATACCCGATCTCTTAGACAAATCTCTTCCCGACAAAGCGTTGCGTAGAGCTTCCGCGTGTGCACGTCCATCGCGCTCTCTGCGTACTCTTTTTTGGGCTACGGCGGTGCCAGTAGCGATAGGTTCGGTGTTGCACACCGTAGGAGTGTTGTGAGCGTTGCTGGTCCTATCAGCTACTACCAAAGGCAGGTGATACAACAAGGCTAGGACTAGAAAGGAGAGAGACCGCATGACGAAGGTATTCAGATTGAGTATTAGGTCCAGATTATCGGATCATTAGGGACTATTCTAAACAGCGACACAAGCAACTCTTATATATATTTACTACTCAGAATAGTACATATATCAGCACAGCTGACAACTGAAAGGTTTTCGGGGCCCGAGCTGACTTACGCCCATCCCTTGAAACAAGGATGACAGCCAGAATGAAGGATGGACGATGCAACCTTTACAACAATCATACATCAAGTACCCATTGCGTACTCGCTTGATAGAAACGTGACTGTTACTAAAATTTGTGGGCTCACTCGGGCTTGAATTAGGGCACACCTCATTGTGATAATGAAACGAGAAAGGGGAAAGCAGGAATGGAGGTGGAGATGTTCGAGGTGGCGTGCTGGTGCAATGCTTGTTCTACGTTAGTATACTGGTCAGAAACCTGACGTGTTCTTGGGATATGCCTCCACCTATAAATAAAATGGCGATACGATGAGCTGATTGGGCTTTACTGTACCATGCCAACTCCAAGTCTCGCGAATAGAGGATTGGAAGAAATCTGGTGGATCAGATGTGGGCCTTGTGCCCTGTTTCGAGGTGAGTAACAGGTCCTCAATGAGCATAGGTATGTAGGCATAGGTGGACTTTGGGACTCGCTTGACCACCTAGGACCTTTAGCGTTGTGTTTCATACTCATAATGGACGGGCCACCGAACGCCCTTGGGCGCAGCAGCGCGGCGTGCTTTCAGCTTGGGTACCTTAGGATACAAAACATATGAGACGGCACACTCATATGCATCGGAAGGGAACGGACGTTGCCAAAAGAATAACCCGGAGGTATTTACTCTCACAGGGGCACAGGGCCACAGGGGCACAGTGGTACCCAATGAAGGTCCTGATCATACGGCTCTTGCTGGAATAAGATACAGATTCAGTACAGAGCCTGATTTCATTATCCATGGAGAGGCCGAGTAAGATCTCCAAACTTGGAGGTGCGTAAAATATTCAACGGCTGACGTCGCAGTCCACCGAGGGTTGGGCATGAGTCCTGCATCACACCTCATTAAAAACGCTATATGCTTAGTCAACGCGGAGCACCTCCTCCATGAAGCAGCCGCCTTATGAATAGATAAGGTGTCCTCCAATTTCAAGACGTCGTATGCATGAAGGAGCTGCCCTTTCATTCAACTACTTTAATAGCAATCGTCAAGGGCGTAAAGGATTATCTTCAGTGTAGGTTAAAGTGGCTGTGTTTGAAAGTAGATTTGCAGAAAACGGCTCCGACTACTTCAATGATGGTTGAGGGTGTGAAGAATCATACCGTCTCATGGCGGCATGGTACTAAGCCAAAAAGAGCGACGGCTTCTAAGATAATAATAGGTTACTTCAGGAAGGAGGGGCGTCTTAAGACATGAAGGGCGAAAAGGGCGGAAGCCTTAGAGTAGCTCTCCGAGGATTGAGTGGGCGATGTGGGATACGAGTTATGAGTAGTTACTGTCGAATTGAATAAAGCCGTTTCAAGTTCGCCGTGTGTAGTCTTGGCATTTATATATGTAAGGTTGTCTCCTAGGGCACATAAAATAGCCATCTAATCAAGTGTTCCGCCACGCACTTTTCAATACTGTAAAGTAGGTATGTAGCCTTCACAACTTTACTAGTCCGCCTCCTTGTTGCAGCCTTTTCGCCCTCTTCTTACTTTTCTCTTTCACATCATCTTGTAATTTCTTTCACCCGCCAATAACTTGCGCAATTTGGCGGACCTGGCCTTTCACCTTCAGACGTTAGAATCGCATGGTAGGATTGAAAGAATGACTGGTCGAGGAGATGGTCGTCTCTTCCGCCCGTACGTGTCTGTTGACAGTCACCAATGATTGAAAAAAATTTAACGAAACTATATAGGTCCACCAATCCTGCAGTAAAGCTAGGCCTTACGCTTACCACGTCCTCGCCGACACTCGACCCTTCTTCCTCATCCCCCTTCTTTCTTATCGTAACCGCTCGTATCCTCACATCCCCACGCCCTAACTCTGCCATCACCCTCGCCACTCATCTCAACGCTCTCGGCGGCCTTAACAATCGCTCCTTCAACAACATTGTCTGCACATCTCCCGTGACGGAAAGCCAAAAGCGCATTGAGATCTGGCCGCGTGGCTGGCCTCACTATATCTGGGATGCAGACAACTTGCGCGAGAGTTGGGAGTTTGTGACTGTGCCTGCGAACGGAATGTTGGAGACTTGGCATCAGGTGGACCGGACGAAGATAGCAGAGGCCGGGCTGAAAGCAGGAGAGAGATATCAGGCTTCACTCACAAATAAGTGTCTAGGGACAAGATGGTGGGCGTTAGGATCATTGGAGGAATTTGAGGGTGTGAGGTTCAGGCGATGGAAGGAAGGAGAGGAGGGGGAAGGGGCAGATGATGGAGGGAGATATCTCATGGGTGGAGCTCCAGATGATCTAGCCTTTGTGATCGAAAAGGAGACGGCGGAATTTGAGATTGGGCAAATGGTCGAGTGAGCAAAGGAAAAGTCTTTTGGGGGACTTCTCTTTCTATAAAGTAGTTTTGAAGTCCAGTATGTTGAGATGTTACTGTCCAGTATCATCCTTGCTCACGCGACAGTCCCCCGGGTCGCGCGAGAGATAGCTTGGCAGGGCGTGAAATCCAGAGGTCCAGCCCTATTTAGCGTCATCATACTCTGGAGAAAGGTAATCGCTTTGAGGCGCCAAGCAAGCCAAGCATTCGAAAGAACAACTTTGTTTCTCCCAACTTATCGCTGAGACAATACATCGACCACGCTTCCCCCACCCGAGACACCAAAAAGGTCGCAATTCAAGGACGTCTCGACGTTCTGTCTTTCACACTCCTAATCACAGATTAAAAAGGTGGTGTCCATTGAAGCAGACACCGCTTACTGCCCCCAGTGCATCCCATGTCAACAGCGTTTGACGCTCGTCGACGCCCAAGCCTCTGGTCCTACCTCAGCTTCAATTCCAAGCCGCGAAGACGATCGAGCTCCTTGCCCAAGCACGAGACTCCCAGTCCCGACAGCAAAGAAAATACCCCTCCGAAGGGCAGCTGGGGCAGAGCAGGCAATCTGGAGGGCTACAAAGAAGCCTCGATGACGGGTGGGCAAAGGGCGCGGTTGCTGAAGACTGCGGGCTTCATTACTTTGGTCGTACTTCTCTTATATCTTTTCACTTCTAGGGATGGCGCAGGTGTTAGGGATATGGTGCAGGGTATGCCCAATAACAATATATGACCCAAGAAGTCCGAAAGTTCACTAACCACTTCTAGGAGCTCAAAAACCCTCGTCTACTTCTACCACGGATAAGAAGATAGCAGGGCCCCTAGGGACAACGAAGTGCTCGAAGTCCAGCTCGAGGGATAAGCCTCTAATACAGTATGCCTTAATGATTGACGCGGGTAGCACCGGCTCTCGAATCCATGTCTATAAATTTAATAACTGCGGTTCTACACCTGAACTGGAATCCGAGGAGTTCAAGATGACGGAGAAGAAAGAGGGAGGATCTGGCTTGAGCTCATACGGGGATGACGCGGAAGGAGCTGCAAAAAGTCTCGACATGCTCCTTGAGGTGGCTATGAAGACGGTCCCGGACAAGTTGAAAGGCTGCTCTCCAATCGCCGTCAAAGCTACTGCTGGTCTTCGAAAATTGGATCAGAAGAAAGAAGGAGCAAGCAAGAAGATCCTCGACGCTGTCCGCAACCGCTTGGAAACAAAATTCCCCTTCCCTGTTGTCTCTGCCGTAAATGGAGGTGTTGAAGTCATGGACGGCAAAGATGAAGGTGTTTACGCTTGGATTACCACGAATTACCTCCTTGGAAAGATCGGCGGTCCGGACAAGTCGCCCACAGCAGCCGTCTTCGACCTTGGTGGTGGCAGCACCCAAATCGTCTTCGAACCCACGTTCAAATCTCCTTCTGGTGGCATGCCCGAAACGCTTCATGAAGGGGAGCACAAGTATGTCTTTAAAACTGGCGGTACAACTTACGAACTCTACCAGCATTCCCACCTCGGCTACGGCCTCATGGCTGCTCGTGAATCTATCCACAAATCTGTCGTACAGGCCCTGCACGACGCCTCTCCGACCGACAAATCATGGGCCTCGTCTCCTATCTCAAACCCTTGCATAGCGCCAGGCATGTCCCGCGAAGTAAACGTCACCCTCGACAGCGGTGACTTCTATACCACCACAATGGCTGGTCCTAAAGACGCCGCCAGCGCGCAATGCCGTGGCCTTGCCGAGAAGATCCTCTTAAAAGACAAGCAATGCGACCTGGCCCCGTGCTCTTTCGGTGGCATACATCAACCTTCGCTAGAAAAGACCTTTGCGCGTGAAGACGTCTACATCTTCAGCTACTTCTTCGACCGCACAAAGCCTTTAGGTATGCCAGAATCCTTCACTGTTGCCGAGCTGCGAGACTTGACCGCCAAGGTATGCGAGGGGGAAAAGGGATGGGCAAGCTTTGGGGCGGTAGAAGGTGCGTTGGAAGAGTTGAAAGGCCGACCGGAATATTGTTTGGACCTGAACTTCATGGTTGGTCTCTTGCACACGGGTTATGATATGGGCTTGAACAGGGAGGTCAAGATTGCGAAGAAGATCAAGGGTAATGAGTTGGGCTGGTGCTTGGGTGCTAGGTAAGTCAACGCATTCTATCTCATCAAGATGCACGGTACTGACACTCGATGCAGCTTGCCGCTGTTGAGCCAGGAATCAGGGTGGAAATGTAAAGTGACTGAGTCGCATTGAGCGGACGGGACCGTCTGAGCTGGGATGCTGTAATGATTGTGGACTTTTGGAGTATCTTCATGGACATGATCTTAGACCGTCGATGTCATTAGGGGGTATATGAACCACATAATTCCTATTACGACCACTGGCATCCTCCCAATCCCTACAAAATTGCTCGTGTTTTCATGCCATCGTTGCCATCTTCCTTGACCTCTGCTTCCCACCAGCATCTCACGATCCCTTCCCCACCAATTCCTCCGCTTTTCTCTTCGTATCATTCAACGCCCCAGTCATGCCTTCCTTCGCCGGAGCTCCATCGCTTCCTACATAGACAACCATTTCAGTCAGCCTAGTCCGCAAGCTCAAACCCCTCCTCTCGAATCCTATCCGTCAGACTGCGCAGACAAACTCACCCTCCGCATTGCCCTGATCATAAGGTTCCTCCACCGTCCCCTGCCCTTTCTGCCCCGACAACGGCTCCTCGCCCGATTTCTGAGCCGGGTCCGTGCTAAGGCCCGTGGCCGATTTCAAGCTGTCCATTTTGTCTTCGATGTTGGTGACGACGTCTGTATGGCGAAGGGTGAGTAGGTCTTGCGGTGGGAGGATAGACATTGGGAAGGTGTGGTTGGTGCGCTTGTAGATAAAGTAGGTTTGGGCATGACGTTGGAGGGCGGGGCGGGGGAGACGGTGCTCCGCTTGGGGCTTGGCGCTCTAGTGGGGAGAGAGTGATGTAGGTAAACATAGCACTCCTAAGTACAATACGAGATTGGACGATACAGAATTTCATTTCTTCAATAATATTTGCATGGAACAGAACCTACAATGGCAAGCCCTTCCCCTCGCCTCCCTCCCTCCCTCCATTTCCCAACCCTCACTGACACCATCCCATCCAGTCCAAAGACTCCTCCCACACCTACATCCACCTCAACGAACCCCGCCACGCCGACCTCTTCGAAGTACGTACCATCCTCCTCCTCCCCTTTCCCTCCCCATTTTCCCACCCCCCCCCTTTTCCCTCCCATCAACCCCCCCCCAAACTCACCACCACCAGGAATTCAACCGGCCCCCGCACCTCCCCCACGAAACCATCTACGTGCCCCCCCACCACCAGCCGCCGAACCCCGAAGACGAAGACGACGTCGTGCCGGACCAGCACGCGGCCTTTGGCATAACGCGCGCGACGCAGGCGAAGAAGGAGAGCGCGTGGAAGGATTTGGGGTTGGAGGGGTTGGTGGGGAAGGGGCCGAAGGGTGGGGAGGTGGGGATGCCGAAGTTGCCTAGATGATATATTTGCGGGGAGGGGGGAGGAGGGGTTGGATTTTACTCGTAGATTAGATGGGGGATGGGGGATTGGGTGGGGAGGAGAGGGCTGGCGCGTTGGTGGTGGGCTGGGAGCCTAGGTAGGATGATACCCGATGCTCGGTTTGTTCAGGGTTTGAGGTTAGGCTTACGAAGATGGTGGCGCGAAGCGGTGCAATGGCATTTATTTACGATGCTAACGTTACTATAAGCGACTATATCCTCACAATATCCGCCCTTGCTCTATCGAACAGGTGATGCCCGATCATTGTTCCCTCGGCCTGCTCGCGCTCTCGCTCCTCGTCAGTGACTTTCCTTGGGTGAATCGCCAGTTGTGCGTAAGTACCGGCTGCTTTGCGTTTGGATAGTGGTCCTGGGTTGACCACTAGAACGCTTTCGACGACCTACGATGTGGTCAGCTTGCTTTCGCTTGGGGTTCTGGGTGGGCATCGCGTACCTTTGCAAAAGGCGACAGTGCACTAGGCGTAATCAACATATCCGGCCGCACATTCAGCCACTCTCCCAACTTCATATAGCTCACATCCATCGGCGTACCAGTTGCAACACCCTCCTCCGTACCTGTCTTGGGCAAGCTTTTCCGATCAGCAGGTGGGAACAGAGGAAAGAAATGGCGTTGCTGGATGAGATGTCTGGGTAGCCGTGCCATGAGATCACTCTCTTTTGTTCTTCCAACTTTGACTTCCTCGCATCGGAGGTCCCAGAGGACGTCTTGTGCTGATATGCCTACAACGATCTCGTTCAGGGAGATGGTCACAGGGTTGGTGACGACCTTTGCTTGCTTCGGGAGACCGAGAACTTTCTTGTCGAAGGGTTCTTGAGGCCATGAGACGTGCTTGTTGACTGCGTCTCGCACTGAGGGAACGAGTACGATTGTTATGTTGGGCACTTGCAGAGCGAGATGACGAATTGGCGTGCCAGCTAGGATTCTGAAGACGTCGTTGAGAGTGGCCTTGTCGGGCTCGATGCTGGAATCGTCTGGAAGATCAAAGTCGCCAGATGCGAGAAGCGGATGCTCGAGGTCGAGGATTGGTCCTACCATAACGAGGACATCTGCATATGACTCGGCTGCTTTCTCGCACAGGGCTTGCAGTGGTTCAAATGCAAGATTGTCATCTGCAGTGTATGGACCAGAGGAAACAAGGACGTTGAGGGCATGTGCAGGGTTCTCCGAGTTAGCTTCTTCGACCCCGAGCCTCTCGTTCAAGGCATCCATCGTTGACGGCAGAGAAGCCGCTGGTGGCAGGAGAGGCATCTCTAGGACTTGGTTGACAGAAAAATAATCACCCGATGCGTTGATGCCACGAACCGCAACAATCTGTCCAGGAAAGAATTCATGGGATACCGATTCGACTTTAAGAGGTACTCGTAATCCAGCACCTGTCCGTCTTGAAGTCTCAAGCATCAGCGAAGATGCGTTGAGTTTTCCTTCGAGTGCATCCGAGGCAATCCGTCCAACGGCTATGATCTCGCTGGTAGCCCGGTTCGCTGCATTTCCGAAAGCCGAATCTTCGAGATTGTGGTGGACCTGTATTAGAGATTGGAATTCGTCTATCCGGTCATCCAGAACCTCGGATGCTTCCGAAAGGTGCATCGCCATGGGCTTATAAGAAAACTTCTTCAGGTCGGTGTTTGCAGTCAGTCTGACGCGAGACTCGGCTGGTGGCGCGATGGGAGCCTCGCAGGTATTCAAGTGGGGATTGAGGGTTTCGACAATCTGGCCTGCGTTCTGACGTTCTGAGAATGGAATACTCCTTGAGATTGTAAGCAGCCATCCTAACCTCGCGCATGTTCGGCAACTTACTGGACGCTCTTTGTATTGCCGTTGGTCCTCGCATCGCTGGGAGAACTCATGCCATCCGCTTTACTAAATTTGGGGACCGCAGGCGTATCGAAAGTAGCTTTCCTCTTCATTGCGCCATTCGTAGAGCGTTGCGGCACTGGAGTATTTGGCACAATGCCATCCAGCCTGTGTTCAATCAGCAACGGTTGAGTAGCTAGCCTCGAGTCCACCTACATCCCAAACACATCATCCCCCTTCCCAGTATTCCTTGGTGTCGCATATGCGCCCCGCTTGTCCACGCTGCGAACGTGCGCTTTCCCTCTCGATTCTCGCTCTAGCATCTCTTGCAAATCTTTTTTGAATGCTCGAGCAGTAGGGAGGTCGAGTTTGGTCTGCTCGGACCCCATCTTCATGCTGTAGGATTCCCATTTGTATGACAGCTCTTGCGGAGGAATCGAGTGTAGGCGGAGTATGGATTGAAGCTCGCCTAGGACATCGGGAGGCAGCTCAGTCACTGGTGGTATGGCGAAAAGCTCGTTGAGTTCTGCTGTAGTAGTACTCATTGTTGCCTTTTGCAATACAGTGTACAAGTGGATCGCAGTAGAAAGAGGTTATGGGTGACAGAGACGCGATATTTGTCGCGTCGGCATTTACGCGCTCTTATATCCGATAAGGCTGACTAGAAAACTGGATTGCATGTATTATTCGGGGCTGTTTCTGGTCTACTTTGCTATCCTCGATCCAAGTTCTGGCATTCTCGCGTTCTAATATATTTCGAGCACTCCCAGATCGATCCTCAAACGGCTCTATGGGCTCCCCTCTTACAGAGTACAGACAAAAATGTTTTACCGTACCGGCCCGATCGTTCTCTTGCAGCAAAATTCCGACTTCTCTAACTCTCGGGTTTCCACCATCGATGGAATCCATCGAGACATCCGCAATTTTGATGGAGGGTACTTAGTTTGTCCGCAAGTCGTGCTGAGAATGAAGCTGGAAGTCCTCACAAGAGAAGGAAAGCTGCTCTGCGTAACCACATATTCGACCTTCAGCTACTCCATATTAGTAGAGGCTCAACAATCTCCCTGGATACTGCCATCCTAAAATCTGTATCCTCCAAGCTGTGTGAAAGAGATCGAAAATACAACGTCTCAGACAAATCCCGACGACTTTCTGATAATTTGGTAAGAGCTTTCCTTTCAGATTTTGGAACCATTCAATGGAATATCTAAGCCGGAGATATCTGTCTTGGACCTTTGAATGATCTACGAGATGTCCAGCGGTTTTCAGCCAGCTTTCGAAAGTCCTCACATCCCATATCTCGAGCAACAAAATCCCAAGCTCCATAAGTGCCAGCTCTGGATCATTTTCTGGAACATCATGGAGTGTCTTACTCGCCTGATCACTGAAATCTTTTATAATCATCAGGTGTTCGACATCAATGCCTGACACAGTTCGTGTGTGAACAAAGGAGTGGACAGTATTTTTCGTCCAACATGTTCGCAGCCAAGGAGTGAGGATGTATTGGAGCAGAGGATATGCTAATTCACGGCAAGCTTGATGCGATCTTTCGGATCCAGTTGCCTCCGCTCTTCCAGGACTACATCCAAGCTCATAGTCCGCTCGCCTAGTTGCGCAGGTCGTAAGAAATTGTCAGGCGCCTCCATACGCCAAAAAAGCCGGTTGTCGCTTGACAGCTGAAGCACAGGTGGTTGAACTTCTGCAAGTGTCTTGCAAATACTCGTTAGCTCGATGGGCACTGACCCTTCTGGGGGCGGTACTTCACTAGAAGTGATAACAATATCCGGAACTGCTGACCAGGTGACTGACTTTTCTGCGGAAGTCGTTGCCCTTCAAACATATCTAGTGTTCGCCTGTGTGCGGCTATCTCCGAGCGGAGCTCCCACTTACGCCGTATTGCGAAGAACATGAGTACTGTCTTCCTCAGGCGTCAAAATGGATGTTTCGTGCCACGAAACGCTTTCCTGAGCAGCCTGATTTTGCCATGAAAACAGGATAGTGAACCTGACCGCTGTCTTACCAACTCCCGACGGTGCCTGCAGGGCGTGGTATGCTTCCTGACATCGAGGCTCTAGACGAAGCATGGCTCGGTGTCTCTCATGACATTGCCGACTCCAACCACAAGCAATCGCACGAAAAAGAGCATTTGCATGCTTTCGTACCTTATGTAGGGAATTCGCCACCCTGGTTTGCTTGGCTTGTTGCAGCTCCTTATTCGATCTCTGAATCTGATGCAGGTCCTCATTGTCGTCCACGAAATTTTTAATGGTCACTGCTGAGTCGCTCAAACCTTTCAGTAGATCGTCGAGGCTCGCCTCATTCATAACAAAAGCCAACCTCTGACTGAAACGGTAATGGCCCTGATCAGGCTTGTTGGCTTCAAGCAAAACCTTTAAATCTTTCTTATCTACCTAGAAAAGTCTTAGCGACAGAGCCGCAAGAAGGTAGGATCCTTCTCTGTACCCGAGGAGGTCTGAATGCCAACCAGCTTCTCGGCAATCTCCTCGAGATAACTCTCGTATAGACCTAGGGTGCCTTGGAAAGCTTCGAATGCGTCACCAGGCTGTAGGTATTCCCTGATCTTGTCGGCATTATCCCCAGTCCAAAATACGTCGTTGTAGTCCTCTGTCAGTCTCACGAAATCCTCATTCGAGGCCGCGCGGCTAAGTAATTTAGCAAGGTTTAGGTGTAACCATGCACTTTGACCCTTGAGCCGCAGTCTGAGCCTTTCGACCTTTACTTTATATCTCTTCTGCTTGAAGCCAAGAACGATCCCCGTCTTTTCGAGCCCCTTCTTGTACACCGAAAGTGCCTCAATGAGGAAGGGTAAGACGGCCAAGACAAGGCCGGCTGTTTCAATTCCAGTCACCATGACACTGATTGGGCCCACCAGAATGTACGTCTGCGGTAATGGTCACAAATTTGCGTATGCAGATGAAGACTGAGGCTTAGTAAGTCGGAATGTTCAGGTGCGGGGATATCTTGGTCTTGACATAATCTTGCATGACGGGCGGCATCCTAGCAACTTTTGTCTATTATATACACCATGTGCATCTTTGGATGTCATCTAGGTGCCACGTTAACTATCATTCCCAATTCTCTCGACAAGACAGACCTGGCAACACATGGCCTTAATGCTTGGGAAACCTTTCAGGTCGCTTATGAGACGCTCGAAAAGAATGCTTCTATGGCTTCGGAACAGCACGATGCTGCGGCGTTGAGGTCAGAGATGCAGCGGTTTCAGCTTTAGGCTATCAATCTTGGATTGTTCCGTCAAGATCACGGTTCTCTAGACTACCGGCTCAGAGACAACGAAGTTGTGAGGTCTTTTACCAGCGAACTGCTTACAAATTTGATCGGAGCTCTTGAAGGAAGTATGCCTTCCTACTTGAAATGTATAACTAGTACTGATAGAAAATCAGTCGCAAGCATCTCCAACTCTCATGATCAAGGATCCCCGTTTATGGTCTCAGAAACGCCCCATCCTGATGCATTGAGAGCTGAAAATGATGAGTTGCTGTGTGAGAGCAACGATGGAGGGTCTTCCTTTAACCCCATCATGATGGGAACCTTGAAATGACACCAAGGATGAAAACGAGTCAATGCTCGTATTGCATTTGGAAGACGTGACAGAAGCAATCAACCAAATGTATAACCTTGCGTCCCAAATACGCAGCCCTAAATTAAGGACAATCCGTACTGATATTGATATCTACAAGAAGGTAGATGGCGAAATCAAGTCTGAGTACATCAAAATGAGGAAAAGGGCCGAACTGCAGGGTATTGAACAAATCGTGCTGCAATCCCGAAAATTGTTGACTGAGTCTCGAGATGAGGAAGCGGACCTGGAGGATAAGTGCCTCATACAGCGTCTACAAAAAGCGAATCACGCTCGTCGCCAGCTGTTTGAGTGTTGGAGGCGGTCCAAACAACAATCTATTCAAGCAGCATCCAAGGCTATCGAAACCGTACCTAGTTCACAACATCATGACGAAAGGCTGACGAGAGTGCCAAAGCACCACATACCCTCTTCGGTGCAACTCTCTGAGATTTCACGATTATTGTTGTCTTCAGTTCCTGCGCTTCCCAAAGACTATATCCTGAGGGGTAACAACAAATATACGTACTCGGGAACGAGTCCAGGTCTCACTGTTCATGGACTCTCCGGTGAAAAGGTCAATTGGCCAAAATCTCCTGTCGCTGGTCCCTTGAAGGAAGACTTTGAGTGTCTTTTCTGTTTCTATTTCTGTACTCCAAGGTACTCTGAAGGCGCTGCTTGGAGGTTTGTGTCCCATTTTAATATGCTCAGACAAGTCGAAAACTGAACGCTGGGCTAGATCGCACCTCAAGCATGACCTTCGACCCTATGTCTGTACATACGATGGTTGTACCGAACCAAATGTGCTATACGATAGCTGGGAAGAGTGGACACGCCATGAGCAATGCGCGCATCAGCAAAGTATATGGCGATGTCCGGAGCACCCTCAGCATGAATACGTTGAGCTTGCTGCGTACGAAGATCACGTGAGGACTTATCATGCGGCATCTATCCATCAGCAGCTTTCCTCCGAGCTTGTGAAATCCCAGGAGTCCGTTTCGCAAGTGTGCGATAGACCTTGCCCCTTCTGCCGGCTTGAAATTGAGCGATCAATTGATCTGCAGCAACATATTGCAGGCCATCTCGAGTCGATCGCGCTGCTCACTTTACCACATATGGACGACACTGACGAAAATTCCGAAGCAGGAAACGCAAACTCAAATTCAACTAATCGTAATCATGCAGAGTCTAAAGCGGGCGACACTTTGACTGCGCGGAGCCCCTGGTCTTCGTTGAAAATAATCACTCGGAAGGTACTCCTGTCGTGACAAAGATAGAAGCAGAGCTCTTGGAAACCAAGCTCGAAGCTGAGAGAGTTTCATTCGAGTCTATGAAGGAATTCAACGTTGAAGCTCGTCAAGCATACTTGAGTGGATTAGTCGAAAAATGGTTGTCTCGTCTGCCGCGTGAGCTCGGAGAGTATAGCGGACTTCCTTTTTTGGACTCGGAAGAGCAAACAGCTTTTCCTGATCAACAAGAAAAAAGTAGCAGCAGCCATTGGTGCAGGGATGTGTTCCAGCAGAGCCGACCATCAACGCCCTTGGGAAGTACAGTTCAACCATCAGTATCTCTCGGCGAGCATGAGCCAGGAACTATGGCCCGTCTGAATGAAGAGTACGTCAGTCTGATCGAGTTATCATTTGACAATGGTGATATCATCGTGTGACTGTACAAATGCCCTGAAGATGGCAGGTCCAGGTTTCTTTGCTACACAATACGGCCCGCTCGTTCAAGGAAAGAATGTTCTGTACGTCTGGTGTCATGAGTAGTAATCAGAAGTGGCCCTTTTCTAAATCTTCATCGAGTCGATCATCGCACGAAAGCTCCTGAGCTTTGGGCTTGCCTAAAATTTCCTAGTTACGAAAGTAGGTTTATGATCCTCCTGTCCCTTGGGCTATCGCTTTAACGGCGGCCAGCGTTAGGATGAAGTTTTCCCTTGATGGAGATCCTAGGAGGCCGCAAAAGCGACAGCTCAAGGGTTCCAGTAACTCAGCTAGCGGAGAATCAAGGACTGGTGTTGTTCTTCTGCTCTTTCCTAGCCTTGAGATCCGAGAACGTGGTGAACCCTATAGTAACAATTAAGGATTATGATATACACAAGGAAGATGAATTGTTTGCTGGGTAAGAACTTTTATAGCTTGATGTATCGCATGCTCCAATGATTCAGGCGCATCATCGACCATCATTACGAGTACGCTCTTCGGTTGTTCCGCAAAACAGACACTGGCGTTGTGAGACTGCAAGCTTCGGCGCAAACCGGTGCCCTAAAAAGGAATCCAATCGGGACATCATTCATCACCCACCAGATAAATTCTCCCACATGGCTATCGCGTGACAACCTTCATGTAGTTCATATTGTGGAGCTACAACAATACATGTTTTACAGAAGAATACGACCCTCAAAAGACGACGCCTGGCGCATTTGATCTGACCTTCATCATGCACCGCGGTACTGCGCCAAATCTAGTGGACTTAGTATAGATGCTAACTAAATCAGATGCCAAAGACTTCGTGAGAGCCATCAGGTCTCTTCGCAGTGTGGAAAAAAGCCGACATGGAGCAGAAATTGTAGGGAAGCCTGATATCAGTTGAGCTGGTCTTCTCAGCTGTTACATGAGAGCGTCCCGGAGTGCTCAAATCTTCTCCCGGAATCTGGACCTCGTCATGAAGGAAAGTGCGAGGATTGAAAAAGTATCAAAAAGGAATGCGAAGAGCCTGTTTGTTCAACATCCAAGCTTGAACTCTATGTCCGCTGGTATATTGTTCCAGTCTCTGCCACCTTGCCCTGAACTTTGTAGAGAAGACCCAAGTTGTTGACGGTGTCGAGTATGGACATATACTCAAGACCCCATACCTACTCTTCCTCGGCTGAAGTCCCACTCAAAAGAGGCACATGCTCGGGAGATGCTCTAGACATTGGGTAGGAAACGTGTTCGCCAGCGTATCAGGATACTCCTTACCCACGACGGTCTCCCTCAGCGCTAGGGTGGTACAGATGTGGATGGTCTAAATGGCTTTCATCCCGAGCCAAATTTAATACTACCCAACGTTCTGCGACTGTCGCTGGCAAACGTCTTTCTGGCGATATCCCCTTCCTATCCTACTCTGTAGCAGTCGCTGCTGTTCCAATCTCCATATTCAACAATATTTCTATCCACTTGAGCACCGCTCGAACGACCAAAATGGAGAATCTCAAGACCTCCATAGCGCATATCCTTTGCTACTCATTCTTACACTCTGTTATCTCAGCCTTACCGGCAGGGTTGCAGCTGTCCGAAAATGAAACCTTTCTGAGGTTTACTTTGCCCGCCGAATAAGCATGCGCCCGTTAAGAAACGCCTCGAGCCGACCTCTACATACCAGTTCATTCAATCTTGTTGTGGACGGGACCGCAACGGAGAAAGACTACGCGAACAGCACCGTGAGCTTAGACACCCAAGCTGGCTCGTTGAAGAGCGTCAAAACCAGCTTGAGTGTTTCGGGCACAATTTATGATCCAACAGATGCTACTGTTGGGATCCTCTACTCCTGGGATGGCCGCGGATTCGATATGCAGGAAACCTTCGCCGTAGCATCAGATGGTTTGGCCACTTCGGCGCAGTACAACGTAGATGCGACCTGCGACGTTATTCATGGTATCGTTCACACAAGTGCAGGCTTGGGACCTTTGCAATTGAGATGTGGTCTCCTGATGAAGGCTTACAAGCTACTAACTCTCAGGGTGATGCTCAGACAGAAGAGGTTTCAAGATATGAAGTTTCTACTCGAATTGAATGAGATGAGAATCGGAGAAGGATATGTCTTCAAAATATCCCTACTCTCCTTGGGCAATGGCACAGAGGGGATAGCGGTGGCGAAGTGACGCCCGGGACGAAAGGCTTTCTCTTCAGTCCGAGTCTTAGAGGAGAGGCTCACACCCAAGCGACCCCGGGCGGCTATTACACAAGCCTGAACGCAATATTCCAATTTCTAGCTTGCGGTATTATGCAGATCCTCCCTCTCGAAGCCCGCTTTTTCGCAGACTTTCCCGCCACCGGCATTCAAGCACAGCTCTTGCTTCTACCGTGCAGGATCAGTCCCATGCTCCTAGAGTAACGGCGTTCATTCGGAGGTTCGTGGCCTGTCTGAGAGCAACAGCTTGGCCATATCATCTAGCCGGATAACAATTCTACCCTTGCGGGATCGACCGATTCGAAAACTCCGACCCTTTTGAGTACACATCAGTTCCTTGCTTGGCTCAGCCACGCATAAACCTACAATATGGAAACTATCGCCATTGTCAAGGTTGCGTCACGAACGCTCGGTACCTACGGTATGGGGAATCAGAGGGGAGCGTATCTAGCGCGTCGGCTTCGTCTCTAATTGGTTTCTGGATCCAGTACAGAAAGCCCTTTCGAGGCTCGTCTCTTTAAGTTGCACATCGACTAGTACTCACGGGGTGTATGCCCGAGGCTTCCAAAGCAAAACTCGAAATGGAAGACTATGGACTAATGAGACACCTTTTGATTGGAGCATCCTGCATATACTCCACTCCCCAGAAAGACTTGAAAGTCCTTACGCCCGTAAACGCATGAAAGCACCGTAATAGTATGGGCAATATACAGCGTCAAGATATGGCGCTCATGAAAGCTATTTTCCTTACTAATAGGTCCAAGGCGTGTAGCTTTGACTTGACAAGATACGTCAATGTAGAACAATGTCTGCCAAGAGATATCTCGCATCCTATAAATCCAATTCCCAGGGATCACTGGTACCTTCTTCTATCTCCCAGCCAAAGCCGTCCAGCTCCCTCTCGCTCATCTCTCTACGCTGCCCCGCCGGAATCCTCTTCGCATACACCTCAACGGTCATAAGCTCCTCCGGCAACCGCGGCTTCCCATCGCTCGTTCCCTGGCGAAGTGTCAATCTGAGGAACGGACGTCCGTTGTCGTCCAGGCTCGTGTCTTCTTCGAGCACGGGAGCGTTGGATGGGTAAAGGAGGTGGATCTCTCGGTGTATCGGGTGGTTCGTCGATTTGAAAGCAAATAACCCTCTGTGAACCGCGTCCTTTTCAATATCGTATCTGCAGTCGAACTCGGCCGCCCACCTGCCCCAGCGGAGGTACACTGTGCACGGAACGGGTGATTCTGGTAAACTGTTCCACGTTAGCGAGATATAAGTCTGGCGATGATCAACTAGGGAGATAGGGGGCAATACTCTGTTCGTCCTGGACTCAATACGATCGTGATGGAACCTTCTTTGAGAGCTCTAGCTTCTTCAACGTGTTTGATGAAGTATGGCTCGCCCTTGACGGTGGTTACTTGTAGTAAAATTTCGTACCTGATTTCTTGTACTCTTGCCTCTTCGGCGACGGCTTGCTGCTGCATCTTGTTTTGTGAACCTGGGTGGAAAACGTGAGAAGAGAACATTGCAGCGGTGAAAGGTAGGCACTTGTAAAGCACCTTGTTGGGAAAGGCGCTCGTTTGCTTCCGGGCATGGTACACGTGTTTGCCATCTGTTCGTGGAAGTGCGCGAGGCATGTAACGACAACAGGCAAAATACGAAAACAGAGTCGATCGTGGAACCCCACGTACATGCTCGAGACAGCAACTTAAGCTATTTGCGATCGAAAACGCAGCTAACAGCCAGCAAATCTTGTCACGATTATCACTCGCTTTCTTAATTTCTTCCGAGGTTTTCTGCTTCCACAAATGATAGGAGACTGTGAACTGCTCCCCACCAAACCTCCCAATCTCTCGTTCGGCTTTAGCTCTCTCCCTCTCATCATTAGTTGTCCCATAGAAAAAGACACATCACAAACATACAAAAGGCACACATAGGATGTAAACAAGTGGTTGAGCCCTCTCACGCTGGGGATAGCAAGCCTAATTAGACCTAAAAGAGGCCGGTACAGGGATACTATCGTACCCAAGCGCAAATATGGGAGGCCTGGGCCGTCTTGTTTGGGTCTGGTGGAATGAATGTTTGGGAGTAAATGGTTTTAACTCAACTTCTCTTGACAGTGTATCTCACTTGATGTGAAGGCTATTTTGCAGTAGGAACATTCTCGCCTGGGAGTATTAATTCAGCTTTTGCAGACTCACAAGTCTCGCCATTAGGCTGTATAGGCATTTGATTTCGAGGGTTTGCCACCCCACGGCACTTCCCGACATCTTCCTCAACGACACCACTACACTCTTACCACCGCTTCACCCGCCTTCTCCACTAGATCGTTAGGCTCCCCCTTCACCAAAAGCGCATTTCCCACATGCACGCCATCGACGATAACGCCAATGATAAGCTCTGCGAACCGTCCTTGCTGTAACAAAAACCCTGGCATCTGTCTCACAGTCTCGATCGCCCACCTATACTCGAAGTATGGTGGCCGTGTGCGTATTAAGGTTGATTCGAAAAGCATAGAGACGTCCCACTCGGCACCGGTTCTGACAACGGTATATGCTTCTAAGGGGTCGGTGTTAGGTACATAGGCGAAGGCTAAGAGGACCGTGATTACGGTACCGAAAACATTTGGGGTGGGAAGACTTTGGCTGTCTGGGCGAAAGTAGAAGCGCGGGGTAACGGCTTCAAGGAGAGTGTCGTTGGTGGTGGTGATTAGCGATGAGATGTTGCCAGATCCACCGGGACTTTCTGCTGTCGGAGACAATACGTCAGTAGTGTTTGCCGATGACTGATACCCCGGTCGCTCAAAAAGCACCTGCGCAACCACTACATTGTCCCAAAAACAGAGAATCTTAGCATTTCGATATTCTCGCTCTCTTATCACGCGGTCCATTCCGAAAAAGATGCACAAAAGCATAATTTCATTCAAAACATCGGTGGCTGGCTGCTGAGGCTCTATATCAATGACCACGTCTGGATAGCCTTCTGCGTGAAACTGCGCGCCATAGCTGCGGGCTGTTTGGTCTTTCAATGCAAGCGTGGCGAGAGCTTCGACGCCATTCATAAGCATAGACGTTGGTCGGAGCCGGACATTCCCGAAATCAATCTGTGCGTTGAATCGCGGATTGTTGAATTCGCTGAGTGGTGTGACATTTGCGAAATCGGCAAGCGAGGAATTGGAAGGGCGTTAAAGGAAGGATCTCTTCGGAAGGTTTAGTGCCACTGCGTTTGCGGTGGGAAAGTACGAAAGGGCTGCAATCCAAAACATTGTGCCAATGTCTTCAGAGAAGAGAACCTCATGTTGCTATGTCCTAAGAGTGAAAGTCTTCTCATGGGTAGCCTGTTAAATAAGGGTCTTTATGAAAGCAAGCGTGTCGACAGTTGCTTGTGTGCTTTGCACTTTGGCGCATACTGCGCAAGAAGATATCGCCTATAAGTTCCGCGCATTTAATTTAAGCGTGTGAGACCGAATATCCCGGTCGACCCTTTCCTCTTATTTGTATCTTTCCATGGCTCCAAAATCATGCGGATATCTTTTCCTATTACTATGGGTAAGCACGATGTGGCAAAGGCATTCCTATAAACCTTTGCTATTGCTCTCGCTCATCATTATTCCCTTCTAAACAGCCATATGTGCTCCTTCTTGTAGTGCCGCCTTCGGCAGTCCTGATTCAATGCATTGCCTTTCGCTGCTTGAAGGAGATTATCACTGCAGCCTGCCATTTTCGCGCAATGACCGGCAAGACCATTACTTTACATCGTCGACTTCGGAAAATGGAATCAGACTGCACGATATTTCAAGAAAAAAGGCGCAATACACTCTATGTTGTACTGTTCGCTATTCTGAGCCAGTAGTACGTCATACATGCGTTTGCATTCTCCTCTTCCAGGCTCCTAACGCTTGCAATCGCGAAGCTGGGTGTAAGTAAGGCGGCTCTGCTACTCACCTATCCATTTGGCTGTGATAGCAGCGCCTTTGGGGCCGTTGCCCGCGTGGGAATAGGTATTGCCACACAGTGTTTTCCGATAGTCGGCCCCACCAGAGGGGGATGGGATCTCGCAGGTACGAGAAATCATCTAACAGCACAATTACAGGAGAAAAGAAAATAGAAAGAGAAGAGCATCTGAAACCGAAAAACATAGAAACCCCTGACTGATCGACTTGTTTGACTCCAAGACTAGGTCGCGATGGTACCCTAATCTTCGCCCTTTTCCAATGGGGCTTGGCTGTTTTCCTAGCTCTGTGATGAGACTGCAATTTTAGCCACGGAGGCCTGACTCAGCGGTCGAGGTCAAGCGCACGGGGTGGGAAAGCGGGGCTCGCGGGTGACAGAAAAGCCTGCACACCCAAAATCTGCAAATCAAGCACAACTTGCCAACGAAAGGGCCTATTAAGGAACGTCCGCTCCGCGATAAAGGAGAAAGAAGCAGAAGTAGTAATTCCTACCGCAACAACTAACTTGTGAAGGGTGTATTGATAAAATGAATTCCAAATACTAAGGTGGGAGGGTTGCTTGGTATGTGCAGGCTTTTCTGTCATCTGTGAGGGGGGAAAGAGGCTTAGACGCACGGCGCATATCGCTACAAAGCCGTTGCCGCAGGATGGCGGCAATGCGGAGTCGAGGGTCTTCGCGATGCGCCGCCCAAGGTCGCGAAGATGCCGAAAGAGAGGTTCAAGACTCTGGTGACTAGTGAAGAAGTGTGTGTTGGGCTGAAGGGGCTTACAGAGCTTTGTGAGGCGAGAAGACAGGTCGTAGAGAGTTATCGGACTATGACGAGAGGGAAAGGGAGGGAGTGGCTGGGTCTGCATTAGAACGGCGTGAAATATGAGTTAGACATGAGCTGTCTCGGTTGGAGTCAGTCGGTTCTTGGGTAGGCGAGAAATTACGAATAATTATCGATGATTGCGAGCATACGAAAACAACATCGCGTCATCATTGCAAATAGATCGCCCTTCGCCATTGCGAGGCCGGGGAGGCCTCCTCTGATGCCGAGCCGAGAGAAAGGGTCTCAACAAAGCCATTTGGGAAAGCAGTGCATTCGCAGAGTAATGGTTTTTTTCGTCATCTTTTAGTATCATATATGATCAGCTGGGTTTTGCCAATCACCAACTGTGTTCCTCCCGTGACGGGGAAATCGTACCGAATCGTGGCTCTGAGAAATGCCAAGACTATGTTGTAGCTGTGTCTGCCAGTTACTCTTATTGCCACATATAATACTGGACCTTTGCCCTCTCGGCGGCAAGATGCGAGAGGGCATTCCAATTCATCGTCAATGGTCCAGAAAGCCCAGGTACTCCGTAACCTTGAAATAATATCTCGCCTCCCATGGCATCCATCAGAATGTTTCCTTCAAAGATTGTCGCGTCATCGTTCGCAAAATCCAGGTATCCCGTGTTGCGACCCTGAGGGTCAAATTGAACGGCACCTAACATGGTGTTATACCCACGCCATTGAAAGTATAGCCGGCGAGGATGGCTACTCTCGATCTTCTGACGCTTTACTGGCGCGTCTAAAGCTGTGTCGATAGGATTGTCTGGCTCGCCGCCCGTATTGTAATCCGAGTCCTTGCTACGTCCGGCTGCTCGCTCGTCGTCGCTATCCTCTTTATCACCGCTCATGTCTTCGCTATCACTCTCGTCGTCGGTATTCTCCGCATTACTAGGATTAGTGTTCTAATCTCCATCTTGTAATAGCTTCGTAACATCTTCCTGCGTTTTACCGAGCACCATCAAGCCAAAAACAATTCCAAGGTCGAAGATAGCCAGTCGTCCACTCCGGATAGTTCGTAGACGCAGCTGCTTTGAAAGAACTGGCTAGTCGTGCTGGATGGCCTCGCATTTCACGACATATTTCCCGATAAGATTATGTGTCTCGAACGAGCTATCGATTTTCGGGTTAAGAACCCTCGCTCGATTATGAAGTTCCTCCACATATTTATGGTGACTTATCATCTATCGATCCCAATCATGATTTGAACGTAGAATTCCACGTCCGGGAGATTGTCGCATATCGATTTGGTGTGCCTTATTATTGACCCTTGCTCGGTCCCAACCAACGACCATTACGTTACTTGCACCTCCCAATCCTCCATCTGCCATATGCAGACCGCAAACTCGCTCTACTCTCCCTATCAAAGCTATAGATTTATCGGTATACCCAGGCAGCAGGATCAAATCCGGTGTCTTGGTCCGGTCTGGATTGCCGTCCCCGTCGAGAAAGTATTTCCAAAGGAAGAGCGACGCATTACACTTTACTTCTTCTGTCGGAGTTACGAAAGTCTCGAATTTTTGAATTCGTTTCGGTAGCTCTTAAGCACAAAACGCTTTTATTCTGTCACGGTAATCCTCTATTATACTCTTGTATTGTTCCTTGAGGGTGGACTTGATCTTGAGAACTTGGGGTGGAACCGCATCGCACTATAAACGTATTAATGATGCTACTCGAGGTGAAGTTACTAATATAGATCTGCTTACTAGCCCATAGGCGACACTTATAAGTAGTAGAGCTTTCGCCTTTAAGGGGTCAATATTAAGATTGAAGTCGATTCCATAATGCTGTAACTGAGCCTTGATCCAGGGTCTATCAATCATACTAGCATCATTTCGAGCCGACTTTCTGGCCTTCTCACTCTTCAGCGATTCCGGGAAAAGGAGTCTTTTGAGGCATTTTCCACTTTCGCGAAAGGTGTCGTTGATACGGAAACCACTGGCTCCGAAGGAAAAGGGACCTTGTGTTGCATCCTCATTTGGATACCTTGGTTTGGTCATTGGACCCTCCTCGGCTAGGAACGTGGTTGATGGCATAGAGTATACAGAGAGTAGCCTCCAAAGTATGAGGGGAGAATGTGATCAGAGACGGTGTATTGACATTTGTGGTTGACAGGGTTTTGAAAAAAGGCGAATGTAGACTCCAGCAAAAGGACTACCAGACTTAGGCAGAAGTAGTCGTGTTTGGTTCAAAGTTGCTGGAGACCGTCGGTATGCCAGGGAAAGTAGGTATAGTAGCAAAGAGTGGGATTGTTGAATTATGACAAAACTTTGGCTAAGGTACCTTAAGGTACACTATCTCAAGGCTAAGATTAGTGCTAAAGCTTGTTACTGCCGAGGTTTAACCGACAAGGCGGGTCTCATTTTGATCAACCTTCAATATTTTCTATCAAATACTGAGATGTGCGCCTCAGTACAAACCCTTTCTCTATCCTACAACCATTGTCAGTCCAAGCTTGCAGTCTCGCTTCAGGAGGAACCAATCTACGACTCTGTGAGTATGATAAGTACCGCAGGGGCTCGTGGCTCGTCTGTAGCGACCGCTACTCAAGCCGAGGCAAATGGGGAAACCCTGGTCTACTCTGATGTACGTGGAGATGAGACTGCATTGGCCGATACCTGTATCGTAGCGATGCCATTCCTGGAGACATCTTGACCCATAGCCCTCGCCGACGATGATGAGTTTTGGTAAGATCTCGTACAAGATGGAGGTAGAGGGGGCTTCACCGGTGTCGGGCGAGTATTTTGTGGTTTGCTGCTTCTTTACTGCTTGGGTGAGTAGTGGAGTTGATGTGGGAGAAGTGGGCGATGGGAAGCGATGAGGTAGAAGTTGATGGGCTATGACAGCGTGGAAGGATGCTAAGAAACAGATTTAGATTTTCAGGGTGGTAGGTATGGATTTTGGATGATTGTAAAGGGTAAAGGGACTCAAGAGACAATGGGACGAATGCCCTCAAAGTAAACCCGTAGCGAGTTTCATCTGCTTTGCTCGACAGGTTTTTCTTCTTGCAAAGCACATACATGTTGTACTTCCCGCGATCATCCTCCTTTGTCTCCCCGACCCCCGATAGCACCGCGCGCTCGAAGGAATTGATTCTGCGTACTGGTCTCTTTCAGAGATTCTGGAGGATGCCAGGCTGTATGTTCTCAAGCTTCTCAGCCAGTTCGGACCATACCCTCTTCTGCACCTCCTTATCCTGCAGTAGAGGTGAGCGCCTAGATGAATCGTATCAGCTTGCCTTCTACACCAGAATCAAGTAGTGCAAAGACTTACTCCCCAATCGTACAATCATCTAAGAATTGCCCATGCGTCTCTTCTCCACCCTCAGCGGCATTGACAGTAGTCCTACTACCTACTTCCGTTGAACGAGCGAAGATGGTTCTGAAGATCTTGAAGATGAAGAGCTTGAGACCTGTCCATTCACGCATGACTTCCGTGATGACCCAGCCTGGGTTGGAATGGTTGACGACGACTTTTCCTTTCTTGGGAGACGCGGTGATTTGTTCGGCTATCTCTTGGACGGCGTACATTTCGAGGAGCTTGGAGAGATTGTATCTGGAATTACAAATCAGCACATTGTTAACAAATGTCGACGGCGCAGGCGTTGTTGTTTTACCTGTCATCCATTCTAGCCTTCTTCTCATCTGCGAGCGCCTCAAAGATTTTCTCCTCTTCGCGCTCAGGAAACTGCGTCATCCAGTGGACGAAAGATGTCACAAATACAAGCCTAGCGGAAGCAATGGGTCAGTTCTTCTCTCTTCCTTTCCTTTCAACGCAAGGGCGTGAAATAGAAGAATAATTGAGGGTCGCAAAGGTACAAGGGCTCTCTGCAGCAGGAGCGTCTCAAATCTTGCTAAATGTTTGCATACCGTGGCAGCGTGTTGAACTTCGCACCCGTCTCTCGCAACTTGGGCAGCAATAACAGTGAATGCAGAATGGGGCTGACAACATTGGTAGTAATGCTCGACTCGTTATCTTCCATTATGGAGAAATTGAAGGTCACGATTCCCGCATTCTCAACCAGGATGTCAAGTCTTTCCAAGCCTTGCGCACGCTTTGCGAAGTGCTTGACCGACTCATAGTGAGCAAGATCAAGCTGCCACACTTGGACAACACCGGTACGTCCTGTTGCTTCCTCGATGGATCTCTTTGCCGCCTCGCCCTTTTCGAGGTTGCGAACTGCGAGGATGACTTTGGCGGCATCGAGACGCACGAAGTGGCGGGATGCTTCGAGACCGAGGCCGGCGTTGCTGCCTGTGACAATGATGGTTTGACCGGTGTATTTCTTGGTGGGGTAGGGAGGGATGGAGAAGAATTGGGAGCGCAGGAACGCGATGGGAGATTGCATGTCAGGCATCTTGGGGGTTTGGTATTGAGTATTATAGTGTATTTGCTTGTGTTCGTGCTAGACGTAGAAAAAGAGAAGTAATGGTGGTGATGTTGAAGGGGCAAGGCGCTTGGAATGTTAGGCGAGGCAAGTGACGAAGAGATATGGAGACTGTGATACTTTGACGGACTGGGAAATGGAGCCTCTTTATATATTTCCCGATATCATTGGTGGCTTCATTATCACACTTTGATCACAAATCTTTCTAATCCCGTCGGACCAAGAGATCGTCCGAGATTCTCGAGATTCTGCAGGGTCCCATCCATCATTTCAAAGCGCGATCCTAAGATTATCAGTCACGTGATGTCGATCTGCAGATCAGACAGATCTTGACATTGATGCACTAGTCTTGTAACTGAGTACAACCGCTTTTCCATCCTCATCGCATGTCTTCTACACAAGACTCTTGGAGTTGAATAGAAACATCCCGACACCAGCCAGGCACTCCACTCTTATCCTCTTTCTCTTCCCTCTCATTTCCCCTTTAAAACATATACGCAAGCAACAACGCAACAACAAGTCTGCACAAATGCATGCAACAGCGCGAGTGCCTGCGATAGTCAATGTGATGCTGGTGCTGGAGTTGACGCGTACCAGGCCTGCCTCTGTCGAGGCGGCTGTCTATGTAATGCAGAACTCTGCCTGCAATGCTGCAAGGTCGCCGGCGATAACTTTACTGTTCTTGCATTCTGCGATACGACATATCACATAGCCGCTGGACGTGTATTTTCATTCTGCGGTATAGCAAGTCAGTTGTTCTCCTTTGGTGCACGTGGTGAGCTAGACAGATCAGAGGTAAGGAGAGCCCGAGAGGCCAGCGACCATTCATGCTTGTTACATACTCGATCGGAGTCTTTGTAGACTCCGAATACTGACCGACTATCCCTCTAGGCAGTGTTAACGCCTGGAGAATCTTGTTTCGTGTACGGTGACGGCGACGATGGCAACGCGACTTCCACGTATGCATCCAACTCACGGATTCCCATAAGCGTAGAGACTTTCATTGATGGCCTGCCTCCACTTACGAACGTAACCGTCTCCGTATCATCTAGACATCTGGGACAGCTGGTGCGACGTCCGCGTCATCTTCCATAGCGTCTACTTCGACTTTGAACACGGGTCAACCAAGCGCGCCTTCCGAGAAGAGCGCCGCTGACCGAATCCGGCCAGCTTTTGCAAAGGTTTGCATGCATTTTGAGATTCTCCACGACATGATTTTGACCGTCGTTGCTGAGTTCCATCCTCTACTGAACAACTATGCTTCTACTCGCAGTACCGCTCGCGCTGCTTTATGAACTCGGAACCTCACACTGCCTCTTGGGGTGGCCTTATCGTGCTAATGTCTTGGTCGTTGCACTAGTGCAGTAGCACACTTCTCGTTCTATCTACACTACGAAGAGCATGAAAGCGCGGAAATGGAACGGCTGGTGGCTTGCATTCATCACAGTATCGCCAGCCAAAGAGCGAAAAGACTAGCCAAGTATTGTTTTCCGAGCGTTGCAGAGAGACGCAAATGGAAAAACAGTGGAGGGCCAGATTAGAGGTATTTGGACAGAAATGTCTTTTTTTTAGGGAATAGAAGATAGCGCCAGATGATGTAGTTCCGCAGAGCGAACAGACGCTATGGTCTGCGAAACTTTCGGGCGAGAGATGAAAACTCCCAGGAAGCCATTTCTCTCATTCGAGGAAGTAACGGAATAGATATATATATGACAACTATTTCCAATATATACAACGCGCTCCCCATCCGATTATACATGACCTTTGAATCAAACGTTATTGCAGGTGGTGTTGTCGCCACCGCAGCAGCAGTCGTTGTCGCTGCGGCCGACATTGTCGTTGCAAGACCCCCAGAACCACACGATGAAACGAAGCAAGTCCGGTCGTAGAATTTGCAAGCGGCTTGCCCAAGATATATAAACCCCCCCTCAACCAGACCCGTGGAATACAGTCCACAACCATTCGCAGCAGCGGTAATGCCGTACGCGAAGAATCTGCAGTCCGTATTGGCTAGATAATACCCTGCGCAATCGTTGCTTGATGTTGCAGTGCAGGCGATGCAAACGCCGGCTGCTATGGACCTTTGCGTGGCAATTGCAGCACAGCTGGCTGGGAGATATGAAATGACAGTAATGGTCTAGAGCATGGTTATCTGAAGAGAGGCTTGTTGCAGAAGTAAGACGTAAGGCTATACTGAACGAGATATTTCAAGCAGTACGGGAGAGTGTATAAGAGAAGGAGGCATTTTCAGGAGGAGAAGAAGTACAAGGTATCAGACGAGTTTCCAGGATCGCCATTCCAGCACGAGAAGGGATTTTGAGTGTACGAGAACATGAGGCTTATGCGTCGTCAGTAAGTAAGAAAAATTATCACAACATTGAAGAGATGGCTAGTAAGGAACAAAAACCGCAACGCAACATCGACAGTAATACAAGGCTCTGAAGCCATGATGCAGGGATAGCTTCAAGACATACGACTATTGCAATCATTCTGCCAGTGCCTGCCAGTCTGGCAATCAACATCGATGATTGAAAGGAAGGAATACCTTCATCACTTGGAAGTTTAGCTCTTGGACAGAGTTCGCTAGCGTACTCGCTTGTGGCGCAGATCTAA